ATAATTGTTAGCTAGCGCTCTAGTTGCTGACAACCGCTATGGTGCTAGCTAACAATTATTGGAAAAAACGATTAATTTCCGGAGTAACTAGCAGTCCAAATTTCGGAGTAAATTATATTTTCCAGATAATCCATCTCTGCCCAAAACGGTAAGTACGATATTAAATTATTATTGAAGTAAATCAAGTAAACATCACTGACAAATTTGTGAAGATATTTTTAATAACTGTTAATTCGTTGAAACACAAATAATTAGCAGTCGGAGGCTCTGAAATTATCTCGTCAAAAATTCCAGTCAGTGGAATCTGAGGCATCGAAGAGCTCAGAGTTGTTAAAATGGAAGCTGGAGGGATATTACTGAAAAGTCGCTGAGTCTGCTAACGACAGATACCCCAGCGTTGCGTGTGGGCGCCCTCCCTCTTATGGGGTTGGCTACTACGATGCCGCTGGGGTCACTCAAACCCGGAGAACTGAGCCTCTACTTTAGTCAATCCTCTTTGGTGATAGTGACCGCCGCGCTGTCTCGTGCCGCCTGAGAGAACTTGTCCCCTGTTTTTGGCTTGACAATACCTGCTTGTATCTTACCTTAGGAGGCTTTAGTGCCCCCCAGTGGCATCGTAGTACTGCACCCCAAAAGAGGGAGAGCGCCACATGCAACAACTCGGTCTCCACGAATGATGAAATGAGTTCAGGTCAGTTTATAGCAATCCAATACATTTTATGACTTTTACTCGCCGTTTTGTGAATTTTCTACCAAGTGCAACGCCCGGAGATACTTTATATGTGAAATAAATGATAGATTCAATTCTTCGAGAGGTCTCATTGCCTTCAGTACAGTGAATATTATAATCACACATCGTAAACGCCAAAACCGTGAAATCATCTGCAGGGGGTTAACCCTCAAAGTTTGAGCTGCCAGCTTTCTCTCAATTGCAACGACTCATCTCGAGGGATATTTGATCCTTGAGTGAAATATAAATTGACGTGAAAAATGTCGAACGAGGGTTCTGACAGCAGTGATGTCGATCAGCCAGCATACATGGACACAGGAGAAGCTAGTGAACTGCCACCAGAGAGTCCACTCCTCATGAAATCAAGGGAACAATATCAAACTCTTTACAGAAAATTTATGGAGTGGAGGGATACGAATGAGAAGGGTCCACTGTCAGAGGATGTATTCATGGATTATTTCACAGATCTCGCTGAGAAAATGAAGCCCTCGACTCTGTGGTCTCAGTACTCAATGCTCAAAGCAACTATGATTGCCAATGAGAAACTCGACATGAATGAGTTCTACAGATTGAGGGGATTCTTGAAGACCAAATCAATTGGATACAAGAAAAAAACGAGTAATACATTTACTTCGAGACAGATCGAGCAGTTCTTGACTGATGCACCAGACAGCCAATATCTCGCTGAAAAAGTTGCCCTGGTCTTTGGAATTCTTGGTGGCTGCAGAAGTCACGAACTAGTTCACATAAGTGTCGATAATATTGAAGATGATGGATCGATGGCGCTCGTTACAATTCCCAAAACTGAGAGCGATCCAGAGCGTTCATTCTCAATTTGTGGGGAATTTTATCAAGTTTACAAGAAATACGCCTCATTGCGACCAAAAAAAACTGACTGCCGAAGATTTTTCTTGAATTATCGAGGAGGCAAATGTGTAAATCAAGTGATTGGCCTTCACAAGTTCGGGGGAATGCCAAAACTAATAGCTTCTTATCTCAATGCTCCTGATCCTGATGGATATACAGGTCACAGTTTTCGGAGGACATCTGCGAGTCTTCTAGCAGAGTCAGGAGCTGATTACAGAAGCCTACAGCGTCATGCTGGGTGGAATTCAAAAATTGCTAGAGATCTCATGGAGGAGAAGAAGAGGAATCAAGTCAGGTTGGCTAAGCAGATAACGGAGTCGGTGTTTTTGAAACCCTCGACTTCCACTTCGAATGATAATTTCCAAATAGAAGCACCACGTGAAGAGACGCTTGCACCACCAGAACAATCACCCATTGTTGATGATCCCTTGTTTATTGACTGCAGCACTGCAATCAAGGAGGAGATCACGTTGGATGAGGTTGCTGAAGAGCAAGTGCCCGCGCAAATAAAAATGCCTGTGCTTGGTACGAATCTAATTCGATTCTCATAACACTCGAGTAATTTGATTGAATGACAGTATTTTTATTGTTTTTTTTTTACAGCTCAGAAGCCCAATATCTTCAGAAAACCAGTTAAGCCACCCATTCTTCGGCCAGTCGCCACACCTCCAATAAAAATTGCCCCCAAACCGGTGATTCGAATCCAACCGAAGAATGTTTTACCAACACCTTTTCCTAATCAGAATCCTTCAACGAAACGTCTTGTTGTCAAAACTATTTCGGTACAGAGACCTCCAGTTGTGCCTCCTCTGCAGCCACAGAGCAGTACATCGGCCCCTGAAACTCAGCGCTCCCCAGAGGTAAAAAAAGTACAGTAAGAATATGTAGATAAAAAACAGGAGAGTCGATATATCTCGAGAAGTCTTGTACGAAAAGTTCTACATATCTTCATTCATAGAAAGAGACAGATGTTGGATGAATGAGAATATGAATAATGACATTCCTTCAAAATCTAATGGACCAAAATGTTCCTGTAATCATTCAAGTCATAACTCTGCTTGATTTTTTATTCATAACTTTTCTTACTCATAGTTTCTAAGGAAAAGTTAGGGATGAAAAAATAAAATAATTGGAATGCAAAGAATAAAGAGAGATTATTTAGTAATTATCATATTGTTTTAGGTTTGTCTGAGATGGGGCTTTCACCACAATAACATGCAGACGAGTTTTCCACACTTCCTCAACTCCGAGGAGTTCGTCGACGTGACCCTCGCCTGCGAGGGTAAGTCTGTAAAATGTCACAAAGTCATTCTATCGGCTTGCAGTGATTACCTAGCCTCGTTGTTACGAGAAAATCCCTGTCAGCATCCGATAATTCTGATGAAGGATTTGAAGTTTTGGGAAGTTGCGGCACTAGTAAAATTCATGTACGAGGGGGAAGTTAATATCCTCCATGACAAGTTGCCACAGCTGTTGAAAGCTGCTAATGCACTACAAATCAAGGGATTGGTTAACTTTGCTCCTCAACAGGTTAGTGGCAACATTAATGATTTTTATTATTATTTCAACATTGTCACTTTATTTTATTTTGAAAATCCTAAATGTGGGCCAATTTGAAGTTTTCGTTGCAGAATAAAGACCAACCGCCATTGGCTTCAGCGTCGGTGTGTCGGCCTGAAGCACCCGCAGCTCCTCCGAAGACTCATGAGATCAGGAAGCCAAAGCACCTGAAGAATCTGTCGACGGCATCTCCGGCTTTCTTCAGGAGAGCCATTAAACGTCCACTCCTGATGAAGAGGCCTAGCCTCGTCTCGAAATATCGTCGAGAAACTCCCAAGACACCTCCACCACGTGAATCATCTCCAGAGATTAAAATGGAGACCCTGGATATTCCTCTTGGGGATGCTGACCTCTTCTCAGTGTCTCCGGAGTACGAAAATCTCATAACTCTAGATGAGGCCAGTCCTGGGGAGGGAAGACCTCCCGAAGTCCCCGGACATGATATGGACATGGTACTGACTGATTATTTGCAACCGGAAAACAACTTCTTGGAGAAGATGGACGATGTGGATAACTGTGGGCGCAGTGCCGAGATCGAGGAAGAGAATGGCCAGCCTCCTGGGGACGATGATCAACATGAACTACATGAAGAGGATGGAACGTGAACCAATAAGAACACCAGCGATATTTATGAATTTTATTACTTCGGTTATTAATAAATCGAAAGAAAACGTTAGAAATAACGAGAGAAAGCATAAGACGTTCTATTACTTTAAGGGGATAGTACTGTGAGTTTTGAAAGTCATGAATTGTTGAACATCGCCGTTTTTTTCTCGTTTCCACACATGCAGAAATTAATTATTAGCGCGTGGAAACAGATGGTCTATCGCATATTTTTTCGATAAACTTTTTTCCTCCACGAAAATGTACAAAATATATTATGGGGCGTTATTTCGAAGTTGAATATCAAAAAGATGAAGACTGTTTTCTCCTTTTTCATATTGAAGAAAAATCACCGGCTATGCGAAATCATTCCAAATTGAATTAACGAACATTTCTACTGACATTGAAAATTCAACAATTAGTTGACATCTAAAATGTTCATAAAGTGTCTCGTAATTATTTTATAAAAAACTCACAGTAGTCCTCCTTACCGCATAGTAAAAATTTTAACAATTCAAAATATCAAATGTCATTAATTGCACAAATATCATTCATCCATTAATAATAAAGAACAACGTTATTTGTAATAATGCGTCTAATGCTCATTTAAAAAAATGGGGATCTCGTAAGACCATTTGTAATTTCCGCTGAAGTATTTTATCTCAGAAATTCGGTAAGAATACTGACAAAATTACCCATTTTATTTATTATTCTGGATCCCAACTTTTTATCACTAACAATAAACAGAACACGGCAAATTATTTTCTAAAGAGACACCGGTAAAACCCCGAAAGAGTATACGACAAAGAAAAGAATTATAACCGATTTTTAAAATCATTTTCCCGTTATTTTTGGGACATTTAAAAAAATTAAAAAGTTAAATGAAATGTCAAATTATGGCGCCATTATTGGCAGCACTTGTTGACCTGCGCACGCACCCCCTCTCCCTAAAGTGTTTACGTTTCTCCCAACCAAACAAACCGCCGTTTCTTCCCAAAATTATGTATTAAAATTACAAAATTTCGAGATAAATCCGGTAAAATGTGAATACCTGAGTGTGAAGTAATCTACTTGTGAAATTATTATGAGTGAATCCGACGACACGGATATCCTCTTGCTGATTCCCCCTGACCTGTTCACTGTGGCATCGTCAGGATCAGAAGAGAGTTTGAACGGTTGTTACTCCAGTGGACGTAAAGTGGTTTCAGGTCTCCTGGAGCAAGTGCACACCCTGGAGAATCGTTTTAAGGGATTGGAGAGTCCTTCGAAGGCCTTGATGTCTCAGAGAGTCGATTTATTGACTCCAGACACTCTGGAGTCTTCAAACATCTTCAAAAGTCCCCCTTCAACGATTAAAAAATGCCCACAGAAGCCGCAGAATTACTCCTCTTCCCTGAGGTTCGGTCCCACCACGAGTTCCAGTGACAGTGAAAAGAAACCGAGCGAAATGCTCCCCAAGTATTATCCCCGATCTTCCACAGGTTCTGACCACAATCTCCACATGACTGACCCATTCTCTCCTTTGAATTTCAAATCCAACAATTCTTACGACACAAATTCCCTCCTCCCACCTCTGGACTTGAAATCCGAGGTCAAAGAGTCGAATTTTCCCAAACAGAACACCGGCAGAGATCCCCTGGGAAGTGAATTCTCTCAACTCCTCAACAACAGCAGCTCTGGGAATTCACTGTTCGAGAGGATCGACCGAAGATCCCCGAAGAAAGATCCATTCACAAAGACTATTCGAGATATTTCAAAAATTCACGAGAACTACTCGAAACTCTCCACGACCTCCAGCGACGTGAATACCGTGAACTCCAGGAATTACAATTTCCCCAACTCCGATTTCCGATCATTTTCTGAGAGGAGAGCCGATGTGGGTGTAAATACTGACTCTGCCGATTCAAAATCCCAAAAATTACTGTCGTTGACTGACTTCTGGGAGCCGGACTCATCGAAGAGTGAAGTGGAAAAGTTGAGGATTAAATTAGAGGAGGAAAAATTCAGGAGAGAACACTGCGAGAAGACAATTCAAGAGCTCCAGAAGAGGCTACTGGAGCAGCAGGAGAGGGTGGCTGTTGCCATCGGTATTGACAAGGAGAAGAACAGTATTATTCAGCAGTACCAGGCAATAACCCAGAAATTGAAGAACCAATTCCAGACTCTTCAGGTGAGTCACAGGAAATTAGAGGAGAGTTCAGTCCTGTCCAGGGCCCAACAGCAGGCGGAGACTGAGGGTTTAAAAACCGAGATAAAACAGTTAGAAGGACAGCTCTCAACGTCACGAGAACTGTCGCTGGAACTCCAGGGAAAAGTCGATGCTGGGGTGGAAGAGAAGCTACAGTTATTGGAAACTCACGCCAGTGAATTGGACAGTTATAAATCATTCGTTAAAACAGGAGAGGAAAGGTACGAGGTACTGAAGGGAGATTACGATAAATTGCAGGAGAAGAATAATCAGCTGGAGGAGTCGTCCTCCATAGCACAGCAGGATCTCTACAGGGAGCGACTCAAGGCAGGTGAAATCAGGAGTGAAATGGCGCTGATTCACAAGGCGTTGGACACATGCGAGGCAGAACTCACAGTTCTACGACAGGAGAAGGAGAATCTCATGCTAAAGCTCAAGGAGGAGGAGAAAAGATGTGCAATACTCGAGGGAAAGAGGAATAATCTCCAGGAGGAATTGGCCACTGCAAAGAGGTCGGAGGAGATGAGGAGAGAAGAGGTGAAGAAACTCGTTGATCAACAGGAGCACATCCGGGGGGAATTAAGGGAGATTTACCAGAATCAGGTCGACGAGGTTGTCAAGGTAAAGTTGAAGGAGTTTCAGGCACACCTCGACACCGCTGAAGCTTCTTTCAAGACTGAACTCGAGGTGAAGCAGAGGGCCATTGCTGAATGTGCGGCTGGAAAAATTAAAAATATCATTGATAAACATCAGCTGGAGATAAATCTGCTGGAGGAGAAGCACAAGGAGGAGAAGAGGCTGTTCGAACTCCGGCTCTCCCAGAATGTTAAAAAATCCAACTTTTTGGAGGCGAAATTGAGTGCCCAGCAGGCAGCAAAGTCGAGAATAGCCGAACAGCTTCATTCACTCATGGAGAAGCAGTGGAAACAGGCTTTGCAGATTATTTCCTCAGGGAATGACGCAAGTTTTGGTAATTCAGATACTTCGAGAGAAATTAGGACTTTGATGAAAGCCAATGGGGATTTTGATGAGGCCATGGAGCCAGTCAAGCTCGGAGTTTCACCTAATAAAAACTTTTTTTATTCACGTCAGGAGCATGATGAGAGCCTCATTGCTTTCACCAATAGTGAGGAATCTAGGGAGAAAATTAAGGATTCCACGGATGATTTGAAGAAGTATATCAAAATGGTGAGAATTTTATTTTCGCTTTACTTTCATTTTGCATTGATTTTTTATTTGATTTTTGAAGCACGGATTCACACTCACTTGCTGATTTCCTTGGGTATTTATAGATCCTCCAGATGCAGGAGAAAAATTTCTCAGGGACAAACGGCGAGAATGAGTCATCGGTTTCATCGTCTGAATGCAGACAAGTACCACGAAAATATTATACGAAAGCGGATGCTGTCTCTACTAGTGAGAAAACCGTAACTTGGCAGCAAACCGAGCCCTCGACTGTTTATAATTCAGTAGCAATGGCACATGTCGATGGAAAACCATCGAAACCCCCTTGGAAGTAATTCCCTCGTGTTGACTATTTTATTGATAAATATTTTAAACATTTTTTTACGAATAAAACTATTTGTAATTACTCTGTATTTGTGAGCTCTATGATGTTTCCGAGTTGTGAAAAACGAGAGAACGGAAGTGGAGAGTGATAATGATGTTTTTTTTTCTCTCTGGGAGGCGATAAATATTCATCTGAAACACCAGAGATCTACTGGTCTGCTACTCTGTTCGTCATGAGTAATTCAAAGGGCGGGTTGTATTTTGTCGGAGTTTTGCTGGGGCTTGGCAGTTTGTCGGGGATTGATTTTGCCAGTGGAGTGGCCTGGAAACCCCGAGAGGACAAGGCCAAGTGTCCGAAAGTCAAGGGATTATCCCATTTTGCTATTTCAGAAGTGAGTAGAGCCTTTAATTCGCCTGATACATTTTTCAACAGTCAATGAGGAGGACTTGTCCTTCTCAAAGATGTTTATCCAAAAAGGTATTCTGAAAAATTGTTTTTTTTTAAATTCTTAATGCGGTATATCCTTTTACGCTTTGTCTTCATAAAATTTTAGGTCGATCCACGTTTATAATTGAAAAATCAAGTGCGTTATGATATGAAATAGAAAGCGGAAAGGGGAATGCATTTTCTAATTCCATCGATTTGATCAAGAGTTATCGACGATAATGCGTCCGATTTCACGTGTGACGTTTCGAAAAATTGTATTAAATAACAAATAGAAAACAGTAATTATGCAAAAAAATACCAACACTGAGTGATTTTATCAATTCTACATCGATCAATTGAATTCCATGCAAAATAACTAGCCCCAGTGTAATAAAAAAGGGCGCGGATTTTTTTCAGAATGCGATAAAAACTCTAAGACTTGGAAATATCTAAATCAATAAATTTCTCAGTTTGTGGGACCGTGGAAGGTGATTCAATATTACGCCAGCTCGGAGGAAGCCCTCGCATACAAATGCATGAGGGCGGAATTATTTCTCTCCGAAGACGATGCGGAAATAACAATGAACTTCACGTACAGCTTCGTCGACGATCCCATTAATGAGAAAGTCTTTGGAAATATAACGTGGAAAATTCCGCAGTTTCAAGAATCACCAGCCCACTGGGTGCACGCAGAGTTCCCCTGTGAGATCCTTCAATTATTCTCTTCTCCTTATTTTTCATTGGCTCATTCCTTTAATATTTCAGACGAAGGGATCTACAACACATATGTTTTGGCAACGGATTACACCTCTTGGGCATTATTAATGCATTGTGCGGAGAAGAATAAGAGTCCGAGGTATCTCTCGAGTTTCATTATGAGCCGCAAGAGACGTCTTGGGGCTAATGTTATCTCTTATCTGCGAGAGAAACTCCCGAGGTGAGATATGACGGCTCAATTGAATAATTGAATAATTGAATGATTTAATTATCACTGGGTAATTCCGATTGGTCTCCTTCTCCCCCTTCAAACCTTCCGTGTTATCCACGTAATTCCGTAATTTATGTACCCGGGAATATTCATATTTGCCAGCAGAAACCAATTTATTGTAGTTTCCTTTCTCTATTTAAATTGTGGTCCACTGCACAATAACGTGTTTGCACCAATTTTTTTTTCAGTAGTTGATTGTGGTCGCACTAATTGGCCTAAAAAAAATTGCACAGGATTTTTGATTGAAAACACATCAATTTAAAAAAAAAAACATTTTTATTCGGAGGTCAATTCGTCAAGAATCATTGGTTATTATTCGACTCTATTCAATATTTTTTTTGCATTTTTCATTAATTTGTAAAAAAATGTATGAAATTGGAATTGAAAATTCTATTAAAATCTTAAAAATTTGATCATTTCGGTCATTTTTATAGAAAATCTCGAAATACAAGGCAGATGGTGAAATTTTGGTCAGAACCTTTTTCGTAGCTCTCAATTAGCCCTATAAAAAAGGTCATAACATAAATTTCGCTATTTCCTCTAGTTCTCGGGTATTTCCGGATAAATAGTTGTTTATGGAAATTTGGGGAAAATCGAAATTTTGAGGACAGAAATTGCAATAGGGTTTTACGAAATGCTTTAGGTATGATATCGATCTCGAGTACATGTTCCCAATGGAGCAGAAGGACTGCAATCACACATCAGAGCGGACTAATTCGTTTGGAAGTCTTCCAATGGTGGAGGCAGCGAGAAATCGATACGAGGCCAACGAAAATCCAAATTGAAATGTGAAAACTATCCAAAATTCCCTAATTAATAAATCATGGACATCAGACGGTTAATCTGTCATATTTCTGGGCTAGTTTTATTAATTCAATTAACAACGTATTATAATAATCTTCATTCTGCTCATTTATAATTACATAATTATAATGAACTGTTTTATTGTTTTTTTTTCTTTAATTTTCTTTAGACCCGTCATCTTTCAACGTTTTCTTTTTCATGTTTTAACTTAGCTTCGCTTCTGTTTTCGTTCAATATCGTAATGCAATTACGTATTCACCTCATTACGTTGATTGACGATGTTCGTCGCTTTCTAATATAGTTTTTGTTTCGTTTTGGATTTAATCGTCAATAATTTTGCGTTTTTTTTTCCTCAACTGTCAGTCGTTTTTCTAATAAATCACCAGACAATGGCCGCTACAACTGATAATAAAATGTTACAAAACCATTTTATTCATTTTTTTTTTTGGTAAGTGTTTTTCTCTTGTCGTTTAAAATCATTCAATTAAACTCTCATTTTCATTCACACGGCACAATTGTTTTTGACATTACTTCGGTAATCACTCTTTTTCTTTCACGGTTTTTTTTTCTCCTCTCGCCCTACTTGTCGGTATTTTGGTATCAATTAATTCGATAAGTGATTAATTACGCATTTTTGAAGCCACATGTGAGGGCCACACGATTTTATTTATTACGTGAGGTTGACACTATTTGATTTCACATTGTTTTGTCCTACCACAGATTTCTTCAAATTATTTTACCCATTTTTTTTTTATAAAAAATTCACTTCATCATCCAAGAGCATCAGAAATTAATTGAGATTCTAGTTGCAGTGCTAATTGGAAAGTGCGACTTTGTTGAAAGATGTCTTCCATTTCTTTACCTGATTATCCGTTAATTCTCATTCGTTTAGTTATTTTGTTTATTTATGTTTTCGACTGAAGTTTGATTTGAATTATTCTTCAAATAAATGAGAGAGTAGCGCACAGCGTGGAAAGAAAATTTGATTAATTCACCAACTCGAGAGCACGTGATGTTCGTTAAATGCTGCACTTGATATTGCAAATTTTTTGAAAATTTAATATACATGCATAATAGTTTTTTTTTCTCTACAGTTAATCCTCTTCCAGTAATTACCATCAATATTGGTTGTTTAATTTTGGTTTTGTTTATTTTTTAAATACTCCAGTTTTTCCTTCTTAGATTGCTAATGATATATTATGATGAAAATGATAATTTTGATAATTCATTCAATAAAAAAAAAGAACAAAACATTACAACAGCAGATTAAAACGTCATTGCTCCTCCGTACGTTTTCAAAATTTGACAGTGCTTTCGTAAAATGATTGAGTATTATGCACACTTCACTAATATTTGAATTTCTTCGATCTTTATTCTCCATTTTTGCCACTTCTTTTTGTCTTAAAAAGTAATTAATTAATTTGACTGATGATTATATATCTACTTTGAAATATAATTATTGCAATTAATCAGTTCGCTACCAGACGAAGTTCTCCATTTTTTAATCCCTTCATTCTAATTTTGTTAGTAACATGAGTTTGTGTATAATAGGTATAATTATAATCAATCAATCGAGAGATTATCTTTTTATATGCTCTCGCCAAAAATTCATACATTTTTTAAATCTCTTTTTGATTTCCACGAAAACAAATGAGCCGACAATTTTCCTCAGTTCATTGACGTTATTTCCTCACTCTTTCAGCATTAATTTTTATTTTAAATTAGCGTTTATTACTCATGCATCTGAAAAATCATCTCGAGGCAGCAGTTGATACCGGAAGTATTACGATAATTATCAATGAAAAAGAAAAAACCGGCTCGAAAGAACGCTTGGAAAGATGAATAATGCGAGAATGAGATAAAATTAATTAGATTTGCAGTTTGAATAGTGTACGATGTGAATTCGTGTCTGACAATATTCTTATTGGCTTCAATTCATATTTTATCATCTGTGACGATCCTTGAGAGTAATTAATTAATTAATACTTAACAATCATGAACACACGGCCACGATTTACACAACGACCATGACCAAACGAAATACGAGAAACAATTCCATAATATTTCTCTACTCCGCTTGATCACAGATAATTCACTCAAGTCGGCCCATTTCAATTTATTTACTCACGACCTCAACAACTTTGGTCCAAATTTTCAAATTCACTCCATAAATCACCCCCAACCCCTCAATAATTCAACGAGCGATCACCGTTAAATGGGCGTTGAAAAAAAAAAATTCAAAAACAAGATAAACCCAAAGTGTTCATTTTTCAATTTACCCAGGACATCATCACTTCAATTCACTACCCCTGTATCCCTCCCTACAATTCCATGGAAAAAAAAACATCTCACTAGATTTAATTTAACTAATAATTTTTTTTTTGGTTTATTCTTTTTTTTTTCTATGATGAGCCATTGTAGTCTGTGGGATTTGTCGATGGAGACCGCTGTCAGTAGACCCACCTGACAGGCGTCCACTGCGGTGTTTTCTGTATTCGCTCGATGGCTGCCTCTAATTGGCCAATAGTATCCTCGATATCGTCATTAACGATAGTAAAATCGAAAAAATGCCCATACGACTGCTTCAGAAGGTCCGACTCCCTTCCAAGTCTCTCGAGGCTCCCATCGTACTGCAATTCGTTAATACAACAGATTTATTACAGCATGAGAAACTAATGAATTGTAATTGATTGATTGATTGACATTAATATCAACTTACGTCATTCATATTTTGAACCACTGGAGCGGCGATAAATACAACGTAGGGTGCAAATTCAGCTGTTCGTAGAATTTTCAACGCCTGGGGCTCAACATCGAGAATAGCCATTTTTCCCTCCTCATGGATTTTTCTAATTGTCTCTAATTTTGTTCCGTACATTGCTTCCTCGTGGGTTCCTTGGGGGTTCAATGTCGAGGATTAATTGTCTGGGGGAGATTCTAGGGGTAATCGGAGACTTACCGTACTCTAGGTACTCATTCGCACTGATGTCTGCCATCATTTCGTCGTGGGAGACGAAATAATAATTTCGACCGTTTTCTTCGTCATTTCGTGGAGGCCTCGTTGTATCTAAATTAGTTTATCATTCAGGATCAGTTGATGATAATCATTGATGATAGTCAATGAATCTATTCTTATTCCACATGAGGAAATTATTGCCTTTGATGATTTATTTATCACTATCACTTGGGAGAACCTATTTTTTAGCTGTGCCTGTCACTCTTTGTACGTGGCCATTCTTTCAGCCAAGATTCACATTTTTTTTTTTTTCCGGCAGAATATCGATGGGATTGACGGGCAAATTAATTAATGGATTAATTCATTGATTAAAAATATTTCAAATGACAAAATAATGTTATGACCGACGACTCGAAGATATTCCAGATACATTACAAGTCATGTCAAGTCATACAGCATGAGTTTCGTGTCTTACCAGTGGCTGAGACTGTGGGATCACCACTACTTCAAGGATTTCCTGGCTGCCTACAAGTTCATCTAACGGTGATATTACATGTCAAGTCATATTTTCATGTCAAATGTTTTAATTTGTAATATTTAAAAAAATATACTGATATCGTAATATCTCGACTTGTAACATTTTTCAGCTAATATTTCGAGGGATAATATTATTACCAAAGAAAATTTGAAGCGCTCACGAAAATTCGTGAGTTATTAAAGAATGATAGAGCCAAAAACCGATATATTTGTCCACGTCAATCCGATCCACCGTTTCCCCGAAATTCACAAAAAAAAAAAAAACATGAATAATGGGAAGATATCGGCAATAATTCCTCAACCGAGATATTTCTCCCAAGAATAGATCAGTGTATTGGATAAAGGAGTTGATTAAAAATGAAGTACTAACGTGGAATAGGGTAGGCATATTTATCAGGATGCTTGGAGATAATGGCATTTTTAATATGCCGACGACCAACACCGTGAGCCCCGAGGAGAACAAGGGTTTTGCGTTGGAAGGCTTCGTCTAAAAACGAGGAGTAATTAAAAAGAGTCCCTCCGAATTTTCACTGAAAATACAGGAGCAATTGAATGATAATACTCACGAGGTACTTTAACAACCTCCTCGTAAGTGACCAGATCCAGCTGATCAAAAACAGCGTTGTGCTTGGCAAGGTACTTATCCTTATACTGTTTTTTCTTTCGGCCAAAAATTGAGCAATTGACTGAAGTACCAACAAATAAAAATCAACATCCATTATCTGTTATTCCAATCAACTGAGGAATTCTGCTAATAGGCTCATTAATTCGATTAAATTAGGTTCATTGAAAATAGTGTGCACTTTGAAATAACTGTCATACATTGGATCAACGTAATAGCATCGAGACATTGGTTGTTTTATCTTTTTACAATTTGCATTTTTATCTAGTGTATGACATGCTTGCATCGCTGGCTCTCTCGATCTTCAATAAACTAGTGAACAAATAAGATGAGTATAAAAATTGTGAGCAGGAGACTAAAGATAAATTGATTAATAAATTAATAAATAAAACTCACTACAGAGTGATAAAATGGAAGTGAAGTTCCAGCAGGTCACAATAAATAATAAGAATTATTCGATGCATGAGTAGAATGTGATGATAAAAGGAGGATATCGTGCCATTTTTTTTTATTTACCTAGGGAGAGGAAGAAGAGGCAGAGAATCATAGGGTTTACGTTCTTATGCATTCCTCTCGACAAAATTATTCTAATAAAATTTAGCTAATTGTGACAACAAGTCAAGGAAATATATTGCACTAATAAATATTCCGTTCGTATTGTAGTCTTTCTAATTTGGAAGTTATTAAAAGCTCTTTGGATTGTACTCCCGTTCTTTTGCTAAAAAATTTCTATGCCTGTGATATCTTTTTTTTTTTTACATATTCTTTTCTCTCTGTTTTATCTTTTCTTTAGCTGCAGGCAGAATTTTTTCGTACCTGTCGAGCTGTCACAGCCCTCGGTGTGAGGAGAACATCCGCCCTCTCCTTCCGCATCTAAGCTCGCATAACATACAATAATATAATAATTACAACTAATTCTCTATCAGGGCATACTCTTCAGTTTAAAATCCTGAAAATACCGACAGCCCCTATCATCGGCTCGAAGTGATATCAAATGTTATTTCTCGTGATTCATTAAAATATTGACCCTCCGCCAATAGAGCACTCGAGGATTTAATTGCAAAAGGCTGATGATGAATTAGCAACGGTTTAATGACGCATGATGTTAATACAACGTGGAAAGCACCCATGCCATGTATTTAAATGCTATCCCAGGGCAGTGAAAATTACAATTAATCACCGATTTAAATGGTTTTTCAATGGGTTTGATATATTTTTTTTTGTTTTTCATGGAACAAAAGAGTGATATCGATCTCGGATTAAAGAGAAGCAGTTTGAGCACAGGGTGCGATCTGCTGGAACAATAACCGCACGTTTATTTATTTTCATTGAGTTTTTATTTGTATCGTCGTCTTAACAGCAGAGGCGTAATCGATAAAGATCTTATTTCTCAAATAAATAGTTCTGACAATTCGTCGACGAGAGATTGGAGGAAAAAATGGAGAGCAGGGGTGATGAACAATTGATGAACAATCGATGATTAATATTCCTTGTGGCCCGCACGTTCTTTTTGCAATTTCTGGTTTGAAGTTTGTGTTGTCAGTGGGAAGTATTTATGATTTTCTTTTTTATAAAAGTGATGAATAATTATAAAAATGATATGTATGTTTATTAAATTATTATAAAATGATAATTGCAAAGAGATAATTATGAGGAGGGGAGAAATTATTAAAGAAAAGATGGAGATATGATCAGTGGCGATGGGAAAAGAATACATCTGACAGTTGATAACAATATAGAATTTAAATGGACTGGTAACTGCATTTTTTTTATCATATCTTTTTTATGGTATCACGTTTGAATATTACCGACGGTAATGTTAATCATAAAAACATTTCCAATCCCAATATCATGTGTTATAGTTATGGAAATTTCATTGGCCAATATAACAGGTGTGAAAATGTGCTAGAGCTTTTTTTATTGCATTTTACTTGGTTTTTTAATTTTTTCATTATTTATGATTATTTAACAATTGATCAGTTCTACCGGTTTGCTCGTCACACACGGATCAATAAATAATCATAAATAATAGGATAATAACAATCATTAATGATATTCTATAAAATATTGAAAAACATTGTGAATAGTTTCATTTTGGTGGATGATAATTTTTTAATTTAATTTCATTTTCCATTCCAATCTAATATTTTTCAAGTAATGTTTAGTGATTTTCACAACACAATTTGAATTCCAAATTCATAAATAATTTACACTGACTCGAGATAAAATGGAAACCAGAAGTTACGAGGGATGGTGTATGCGGGCCTTGAATGATTGTTTAAAAAATGTAAAAAATGGGAAGAAATGGGAAAAAGGAGTTACCGAGCTGTTGTTGTTAAGTCGACGAGATTGAAATGAATTTGAGACCTATGAAGAAATGGCGAGAACAGTCAGGATACCCCCGGATGGGTGAATAATTCTGGAGAACAGTGGAATGAGATAATGACGTTCTCATTATTTGTGAATATGTCTGGAGATATTCCTACCTTGTTCCTGCTTATTCTTCTTCATGGCCATGCAGGCAGCTCTCCATTCTTGCAACTCTGAGGATGGTATGAGACCAGCTGAGCCAGCTGCATTGTCCTTCCTAGCCTGCCACCAGTGATGATCGTCCTTGCTAATTATTTGCAGTATATCACCAGTTTTAAATGCTATACCAGCTTGGGCACATGGTATGTGCTCATCCTCGAGAGGATCGTAATCGAACTGCGCTCTCACGAATATCTGTGACAGACATTCGTTGGATATTAGTCTCATTATCCCACCCCAACCCCTGAGTTTATCAATTGTGGGAGGCAGTTATAACACTGAATTGTTTATTCCCCGGTGATTAAGCATTTCAATTTGACGACGAATATTACTCGAGTAGATATTATCTCCTCTAGGATGATGCATTATAAGCTCAAGCAGTTGAAACATGTCAATCGATATTTACTGGTTGTTTTTTTTTTCTCTTTATCGATTTTTTTTTTTCCACAATAATTGAGTCTAGAATTGGAGATATTGAGTGAATTTGTGGAATGATGTGATGCTTTCTAGGGAATGTCATACCTTGCTCTATTGTTGACCCTGAGTATTTAAAGAAAATTGGTTTTAATGAAATTATCGAGTGAATGTTACAACAGGATTTGACCTAGATTTTTTATTCTACGTGTCAAGGAAATATTCGATTACCATTGAATGGTGTAAATGGGAGTTGATGAATGCAGCAGCTATCGATATATTTTGAAGAGTTAACGAAAATGTATCTCTCGGGTATCGAAACAACAATTGGAATATAATGGACTGTGGGCGGTTTAGTAAAACAATTATCATTCCCATTCCCTCCCCTCACGAATTATGGTATCATTAAATTATAGAAATTAATACGAGTGAAAATGAAAAGGTCACTTTTTCAAGTTGAAATAACAGTGAAAAGTGCAGCTTGGGAAATGCCTCGGGTCTACATGGTTAAACGTTAAATTTAATTATTCTGCTACAACTCTTTTCTCTCAATCTCTTATTCCTTTTTACCGTGACTAGGCCACATGCCAGGTTCTCATTGAATTTCTCTCTGCGTGTATATACATCGTGAAAAAAAAAATGTCTATCTATTTAACAAAAAATAGTGTCGATGGTATAATAAATAGTGTACGGAATATCTAACAAAAACGCACCAATTGGAAAATAAATATTTGAACAATCGATCGATTGTACAGTTGGTTGACAAAAATTTGGGTTAATATGCAGGTACAGGTATTAACGCATTAGCTCTCTAACTACAGCAGTCCAATCACACCAGATCAAGTGGCGGTACTTACTAATACTGGCAGAGGCCTAATCCTGAACAACTAGATTGTTGAAAAACAGAAAGAAAAAGAATATGGTCATTATTTCGTTGATTAATTTATCTCTCGGTTTCAAGAAACGTGAGGTTTTGAAAAAAAATAAATAAACTCATTCTTCCTTTAAGACTATTCTTTTCTAATTGCTGCATCAACTTTTACTCAACGCGCCTAATTTCACTGCTGACAATTAGTGTTTCTAGGGGAATCAAGTGGAGGTGTTTTTCTTTTTAAACAACAACTAGTGATTCTCATTACGTGGAAGGGTCTAAGTTTCTAGGCACCAAAATACTGAGTAATTAAAAGTAGTGAAGGGGTTGGAGTAAAAAAAAGGTATCGACAACTCGTCTGGTGGACTGACTGCTGCCACTGCAGTTGTATTCTGCTCTGTTGCTGCCGATGATTCTAATATATATTTATATATATATATATTTTTTTTTCTATATAATGTTTAGTGTAGCCATGTATATACAGTTTTTTTAGAGTTTGCAATGATGACGATGTTAAATTTCTGACGGATGAAAAATCGGTGGGAGTATTAAAATGAAAGAGTCTCGACCACTGCCAGATTAGAGAATTTAAAAAAACTTTAACTTTTTTTTGTTTTCTTTCTTTTTGAGGATTTCAAGCGGTTACAGGTCGGATAGCAGAAAATTAAATATAGCAGAGATTTGTATGCGCTATTTCTCTCGTGTGGAATAATAAAATAAATAATTTTTGTTTTTTATTTAGTTTGAATGAACGAGTCCTCATTATTTCATTCGGCGGAATGATTCTTGTTCACAGTCTAGTGATTTTAAATCGCCAATTACTTGATGAGAACGGGATTTTCGGTTGAAAATTTTCATCGCAATTTTTTTTCAATTGAGGAGGAGAAAAAAGCTGAGTCAATAACGATTGAATATTGACAGGTCGTTTATGGTGGGCTTGGATGTGGATTTTGGGGCTTACTTGTACCTCGCAGGGGGGCGGTGCAATCCTGTACGATGGAAGTATTTTGAATGTCACTGAACCCCTCGCCTCTCGCTGTGAAAAAAATTAATTATTCTCATTATTAATAGTAGCAATGGAATAAGAGTATTTAGCTCCCTCCAAGTGCTACAAATCAGTAAAAAATTGAAAAATCCCTACAATCAGCACAAAGTATAAAATAAAAGTACCAAATACTGGAAGTACTAAATATCAATATCTAATTACACAGAAGGAAAAATGAAAACTTATAGACTAGTTTCTCAATTTAAAAAAACTGGCAACTGAAATCATTTTTTTTCTGAATCAAAACTTCGAATTACGTTTTATTACAATAATTCTCGCAAATAACGTTCCGCAGTATATTCCCAGTTAAAGGAATGGGCAAGGGAATCCATTCAATCCGATAATAATAATAATCACTTGAAAGTAGTGACATTAAGTCATAAAAGTGCTTGAAGGAGTTGAAAGCTTACTTTTCACTAGATTTTCTATTAAACACGAGAAGTGTTAAAAGTACGGGTGGTAGTAAAGTAGCAAGACGACTTTCTGCAGCAAAATTACTTTATTCAGGGACACAAAATGCCCTTGAATATTTTTATAATTTATCAAAAGTGAAGCTCACTGCGCGCTTTGACAAGCGAGAAGCAATAATTGGGAATAAAAGGCTAATATTGATGAAATAGTTTGATATTGAGTTGGAGGGTGTGATAATTAATTTCAACTGGGATATTAATCCATCGGGGAATGGCTATCAACACCGAAACTTGGTATCACAAACATTCCCGTGTGATTTCTGGCTGGATTCCCGTGGCTTGCCACCATAGATTCTCCGGATTCCCCTGCTACCCTTTTTTCAATAAACCATCACCTCAGGTAATCCAGATAGGAATCCAACTGGGAATTTTCGTTATGCAGGTGATAATCGATTTTCCCCGCTTGCTTTCCCCACATGAATTTTTTGCCATTTAATTAACTATTTCCAGTAATTAACATCAACTGTGGAATTTACTGTAGTTTTATGATCAAAGGTTGGGGATTATCAAATTTCGATACTCACGAGCATTTTTTGCAGAGTATTCACTGACTGATTGGCAACTGGAATTCCATTTATTTCTTTTATCTCATCGAGAACGTGAAGCGTCGCTTGTCTGTGAATCATTCCACCGTGCATTATTCGTGCTACCACGCATTTACCGTCTTCATTCATTTTTAATGTTATGCCCTGGGTGCATAAATAAACATTGCAAAATTTATTGAAATTGATTAACCTTTAGGTAATTTTTTACTGTGTTGAGAGGAGACTACTATGAGTTTTTAATGCTGTGAATTATTCGGGTGAGATCGCTTTTTAGATGTTGGAATTCAATACGAATGTTTAACGACGAATAATTAATGAAAGAAACGATTTTTTTATTGTCTATTTAGCGCTCAGACGCTTAAAATATTTAAAATAATTGTATAAAAATGTTGAACGTGTGGGTTGAATACCCATTTTTATAACATATTTTTCTCCACGTACTTAAAGTCTATCTTGGAATGTTCGATTTATATCACAAGCTGCAATCATTTATTTAAAAAAGGAATTAGCAGTCCGGGCATTGGATTTGAGAAATGAATGCAGAATGAGTTATTTTACACTTATTTTTTTAATTATGAGAAAAGCCTTCGTAAATCCCTGTTCAATAGCCCGCGACTTTCGAAACTCAGAGTACACTGTTGAAAGAAAAAAAAATCGATTTCATCAACAATCAATCGCCGATTCTTAATTGCAAATTTTTTAGATTCTACTGGATATTCAGTGAAATTCCCCAATTTTATGAGTGCAAAGCCGAGAATTCTTCAATTTCTTTGAATTTTTCAATATTCAAACTCGCGACTAAATTCTGTGAAATGTTCAGTAAAATCCAAAATTTTCCGTTTTTTCTCATGAATTTCGTTGAAGCTCTAAATGTGAATGACAAAAGGTCCTTAAATCCACGACGAACTTCCTACATTTAATACGCGAGATCCGAAAATCTTCAGCAGTGATAATCTCCCCTCAAACTGACATTGAGACAAAAACCCTCACCATAGGTTCATCAGTATTCTTTTGAAATTGCACTAGCCTAACCCGCGTGACATTCTCCACATCCATATCTCCATTCTGCCCCTCAACATCATCACTCCCATTGAGATACGGTAACAGGGGTGGTGGTGTGACCCGTGATGCACCCTCGCCGTAAACTTCATGGCCCGCTACGTCGTGTGCCTGAAGAAGTGTCTAAACAGCCCCAAAAAGAGCAGAAGATGAGAACAAAAATGTTAAAAGCAATAAAAAAAAAGCATGAGATAACAGCAGTGATAGGTGAAGGGTATAAGCAAAAAAACGATCAATTGAAGATTCATCGGCTAATTTGATAGTCAGAAAGGGGGAGAGGGAGGGCGGTAAGGAATTGGGAGCGTGACTTTGATGAATTAAGGGTAATGGGTGAAAGTTGTTCACTGAGGGGTTGAAAAGTTGGTACCACAGATTGAAAGGCTGTGTGTAAACTACAACTCCAGAGGTTTGAAGATTTGTGAAACAAAGTAATGTATAATACAACAAGGCAACACGCCAAAAGATCTTCCCCCATTCGGAGTTTACCGCAACCGTGCGACTGCGCTTTAACAATCAACCCGTACGCAATATACTCTTCCCTATCTGGGACGAACTTATAAGCCACCAGTTTTTTGCCAACTATATATTGCCCCAACGGTTTGCTCCAGTGATCAATCAATAACTAGCCAATATTTTCGGTGAAAAATTTTATTCCAGTCGTGACATTACGAGGGGTATCAAATATTCATCCATAATCGGTGATATATTTCATTCCTTTTCATATTTAGAAGGGATTTGTAATTGATTTGTAGTTAATTTGTTTAACTTGTTTAATAAAAACAGTAAAAACAAATGTACTATAAACGTGAAGGGAAAAAGCCTGTGTCTACTGTCTAATAGTGACCATCACTCCTAATTCTTAACTCTTCCCCTACTCGTAATAACGAAAATAACAATAAAATATGATGATTTCTATCTAATTCAGCTAATCCCATGAGCCCTACACTCTAAAACAAATAAATCAAGCTATGAATATTGATGGTCATGTAGAGATCAATAGTAATCACTGATGTTTACCTGATGACCATGACAATCTGGTAAGCCATTTGGAAACTTGAAACGAAATGGACTGTGAACTGGACAATTAATTCTCAAATGATTATCGACGTTGAATTGCAAAGTTGGATGATTATGAGATCCAAATATAACCGAGTCCATTGGTAATTGTCGTCCAGGCTGATGCTCGAGTGATCTGCATGACCAATTTATTGGGCGATGATCCAGTGGTCGGCCAGGTGTATTAGCAAGTGCTCTGGCATGATGTGCATCGTGTGCACAGTAGTCCAATAGCTGTGGTACATGATCAACAGAACGACATCCATGATCATGAGAGAAATGGTGATCCTTGGGTCTACCATTGTGATCAACTAGTCTGCATGGATGATCAATGGCTCTCTGATAGTAATCATTACCACGATAATACGTTGTATCAATTGATCGTGGCTGCTCAGTGCAGATATTTGGCTCAATCTGATGATGCTCGTGTCTCATCGATGACTCTGGACTCGTCATATTGCTCAAGTGTTCATGAACTATTGACTGTCTACCCGAGTCCATCGATCTCATTGATTCCATCGATCTCATTGTATCCATTGATCTCATACCCGGATCAATAGGCCGTATTGGTAGTGGATCTGATGAGTTACACCCTCGTGTCCAGCATTTTCCAACCCCGCTGTCACACACACTCCCACTAACACTCGCTGCATAGTTGGGGTGATTTTGTGGCCCCCAACCACCTCCATGGTAATCCATCAGACTTCAAAGATTTTTTTATCCTTCACCTCTCAAGGGAAACCCCGACTTGTTTTTCTCTCCTTTTATTTGACCACCCCCCCCTCTTTTCTTGTATTCTGTCTTCTCTCTGTCTTTATTATTCTCTGTGCTCTCTCTTTTCTCCACCGTTTTTTATTCCCACCTCTCGAAAAAGGTGTAATGTTAAATATTAATGAGTTCAGTCTGGCGGTAATGCATGTTTGCGTACTGCGGAGTACTGAGACACACATGTACACATTCGTACACCCTCCTACTCACACACCTACACATTATAAACACGCTGTGCATTTTTCATTGAGACTACGCAAAACTCACCCCCACCAATATATTCAAAAAAAAAAAAAGGAAAAATAAAAGCAATTAATCCTCAATATCTCGTATTTATATCTCGTATATATAGTACTTAATCACTGTTGTAACCGTCCGTCATCGTTATTTACCAACAAAATAAATAGACAACAGCCTTGTCAAATAATTGATAAAAAAAAAGGTGATTGAAGTAAAGAGCCTTTAATTTACGTTGCAAAAGTCATGTTACGCATTTAGCTTTAATGTACAATTGTCTGTAGAACCGTAATCGATACATCACAGTGTTTATCGTGTCATTGGTAGCATTATCAATCATTTTAAATGTTATATATGGGGAGATAATTAGTTGTGATTGGATAGAAGATTAGTTGAGATTGTCGCGAAATAAAATGATAGAATAAGTGGGGTGAATGGGGGAATGAGAAAAAATATACTATTCGAGTGCGGCAGCAACGAGACACCGACACATCTCGATGCCGCGCTCCCCAGCACTGCGAGGTAATGTTCAATTGTACCTCAGTCGCGCAGTCTCCGGATCTTTCGCGCAAAACCCCAGGGGGTTTACTCCCCCTATTCATCCACCCTATCTATCCCTCTCTTTCATGCCCCTCCTTGCGTTTATGTATGTTACATCATTTCTCCTACCACCATCAGGAGATCTAACCCAGCGTCGCACTCGTGCCGGCGTCTGGACCGCAACGCTCTACCCGCATCAACCCCTATAGCTGTTCCACCCCCTCCATCACCACTCAACCACCCAACCACCCATCCACCCCCTCATTTCCATTGCGCACCCCCTATTTTTCCCCTTCCACTTGCCTTTCTCTTCAATTAATATATACTTCTCTTTCTAAACCCCGACACAGCTTCTCGTCCATTTCCCTCATTTCTGCCCTACTCTCCTTTTTAACCGATCTGCGCCGCCACGTCTTGTCCCACCATCCAGCGGCATTCTTCCAATTTCACCTACCCCTATTTCTATTTCATTTATTTACATCCTTTTCTTCATTCCTCCTTCTTTTTACGTCATTTGAATTTATTCACTTTTTTCTTTTTTCTATTTTCTTTTGCCATTTGTGCCTTTTTCGCCCTTTTCTCTTGCTCCTTTTCCATCCACCCCCTCAATTTGCAGAAATTGCAAATGGTCCAGGAAATCGCTGGACAGGGGTGAGGGGGAGGGTTAGTGAGGGGGTGGGTTAGTGAGGGGGTGGTCTCCTGGTACTGCTTGTTTTCTCTGGTTGTTTTTTCTTTATGCCGTCAAACTTTGGGGATGAAAAAGTGGGGAGGCTTTATTCTGATTTTTATGGAGCCCAGGAAGACGGAAGCTGGTCTTCGCCTTCTTCGGGCTTTTTTATGAATAATTTTCAAATGAGGGTTTAGAGCGTAGGAGGGACAGGTTAAGGACGTTGTCGGTAGATACCAGCGCTTGCGTACTTGATACCACCCATATTGAAATATGTAGGGCATTGATAGAGATACAGACGCAGACGCAGACAGGGATACTAAATAACTCACACACGAGTCTGCATTTTTTTTTACTCTCATTCTGTTGGCAACTGGAATTTTCCAAACTCGTGTGCTCCAAAAATTTTGGTAATAGAAAAGTTTGTATCTCAACAGTTGCCCTTGTAACTGGAATTCAGGGGGTGAATGAAATATATATATACACATATATATATATGGAAAAAAAATAGTTATGGGTTGGAGAGTAATTGAGAGTAGTTTCCAGTGGAGTCTGAGTGGATGGAGAAAGGGGCAGGGATTATGACTACTTGAACTCGACGAATGATAAAAAATGTAGAGAAGTAGAAGAAGGAGATGTAAAAGAAAAAGGAAAAGTATGTTTTGCTGATGGTGGGAGTGGTGGTAAATATTTACCTTGAAACGATGCCTCTGGTATTCCTTGATGAATGAGAGATAGTATTTGTATACGTGTAATGGTAAAGAGCGTTTTGTCTCTTCACCAATCCAGCGTTGTGTTAAGTCAAGGCCAGGTGGTCTTGGTACTCGTGAAACAGTTGTTGGTGGTAATTTAAGTGGCTTTTGTTTTTCAGTCTCTCTCGAGTCGTAATGGCATGTTGTTGAGCATGGTGATTGTGTGAGATAAAAATCAGAGGTATTCGAGGGTGGATAAGAGTGATGATGGTGATAACGATGATAATTAGATGTTGATGATGAACGCCAATCGAAACGATTAAATGGCACTGGTGTTGTTTCAGCTGAACGGGAACGATGGGGCTCGTGACAGAGTGATAGATGTGAGGTATGGAGACAGGTTGACAATAGTGCACAATGCTGGAGTGTCAGTACTGGCCTAAGGCATTTTCTGCATGATGGATATACGTGGGGATTCCATGTGTGGTAGCAGCATCCCGGCGACCTGGAGCCTATTGGATCCCTGGTCGCAGGGTAATTCATGATGATAATCACATTTCAGATATTTACATTAGCGTCTCCTCAACTTTTAACCACTTTTATCTCACATTGTTTGCCATTTTTATGGCCTTCTTCTATTCAACATTACTTGCATTATTTGCTGAGTGTCTCTTAGTTTAGCACTTCATTCCCAACTCAAGTGGCATCTTCAAAACTTTTCAAGTTTCATTATTCTTTACTTGATCGACTTTTTTTTTATTGAACTTGTCAGATCTGGGGGGTCACTGGGGGTGTATTTTACATATTGAGGGTGGTCTGTCTTTTTTTTAATGAGGATAATAGTCATGGCAAGTTATTTTCGAATTGAAAAATAGACATGCGCGTATTCTCAGGGTGCCTAGCAACCGTTGCCTAACAACCAAGTCACCTAGCAACTACTAGTGAGCAACCATTGCCTCTGGCAACCAATTGCACATGTGTGAGTTTCTATTGTCAAGAGTTAGTTTTCCGTTTCTTTCTAACTATACGGTACCTTTGTATTACTGATTTCACCGGAAAATTAAAGCCGAACTATTTGTCCTTTATCTGTAACTCTCGTTTGATTTATCAGACTATTTATTTATAAATTTGTGCCGATTTTCTTCGATTTATTTCAGTTTTTACCGTGGATTTTGGTGAATGGAGTACTCCACGGGGATAATTGAGATAGTTTTGCAGATTACAGGAGATTTCAAGTTGATGATCCAATTAGTGGCATAAGGTGAGATAATGGGGAACAATTGCGGTGCGGAGAGAGGGGAACGACCCAGAGTCACGTGGTAATTCTCTCCAACATCAATTTATATATATTTCTCATTAAAAAATTTCACGGAAATATTTTCAACGAGTCGAGTTTAACTCTCAATAGCATTGCGCTGTCAAAAAAGTTTTAATTAACATATCCACCAGATGAATTCAATCCATAAAAACTAATGATTGTGTGAAGAATGAGTCTCCACACGATTGTTTGTTACCTAGGGTAAGAGTAAAATCAACCGGTCTGTCTAAATTTGTGATTTAAATTCTCGTGGATTAAATTCACACTGATGGTGACAATTGTATGTGGTAGCAGTAGCAGCACCAGCACGAGACCGGTTATTGCGCGGGGGATTAAAATGTCTTGACGTCATCGTTAAGAGTGAACGAGGGATAAATGAATTGAGGTGATGAGGATGGGAGAGGGGGAGGGGAAGAGATTTGTGGTTAATGACAGATTGAGTGACGATATTCGACGTTAATAAATACGAACGCACGTCGTTCACGGACAACGGTCTGCAGTGAACTAGCGGCAATCCCTATCCCCGGTGGGTACCCCTTCTCCATACATTTGTGCTCCACCTCCAAACGTCACTTCCGTTTTTACCCAACCCCTCGTTACCTCCCTCCTCCACCCGTCGGTTACTTCCACTCTTCTATCCCCTTGGTTCACCCCCGTTTGCCAACCCCAGAACGCAGCCGCTCGCGAAACTCAGCGTGACAACTCACAAGTCAAGTGGATATCTGCACTTTCAGTCATTGAAATATGAGGGAGAGAAAGAAAAATGTCCAATGGTAAATTAACCCTGTGATCCTTTGATGAATCTTCAACACAACTGTGTAACAATTTGAGGGGTTAATTATTGAAATTTACCAAGAACATGATGATATTAAAAGGACAAGGCTTTAATGGTAAAAATAGGAGTGGAGAAAAGGGTAGATTTCAAGTCGAGTGGTGATAGAATTCAAGGTACTGGAGGAAGGGTAACACCCAAGAATTGTGATGGAGCTTCAATGATTGACCTTACCTTCATGTGTGGTTGATTGAGCAGCTCCTGAAGTTCTCTCAGGTCACATCGATCAAGGTTCCTAAATGCCATGAGTTCAGACTCACGTAAAAATTCCTCAACTTCTCGTGCACGATGTACAGCATCTGTGGGAGGTGGTCTAGTCGGTGTTGATACTTTTGTTGATATTTTATCATACAGCTACAATGAAAATTAAAAATTTATCATTTTCATAATTTATCATTTTATCATATCCTACTCTGAGGTATCGTCTCTTATTATTTAAACTCACTAATAAATTTCCGATTTCAAACAAATCGTACGCCAGATTGGTATCGGCAATGGACATTAATTGAGTTAATTGCATCTTCCTTAGTGGCCATTACGCATCATCGGACTCAAAGCTTAGCATCATCTTTTTTTTTCTTATTGAGATTATCGATAAAGTATTGACGGAAGGAAGAGGACAATTGGGGATTAATATCTGTGGATATTTCCTTATTTTGCTACGCAACTTGTTCGCGACTGTTCTAGGATCCAGGTGGGGTTCGCTTGAATCTACCGAGGACCAAGGGGAGTATATAATTGCCAACGCGCAAACTCCAGCTCCGATCGATTCCACGCTGATGATCGTCTGTCTGTTCATATGTTCATTCGCATGGACCAAGGAATTGTGCAGACGTCTGCACTGGACACTTAGCTCATGAATTTCCATCCAGTGTTATTCAATTTAACGGTTTTTCGTATATTATTTTTTTTTTCAGGTTTGATTGAACGCACAGAGTGGATTTAAACTCGATGAAATTAATGTTTGTGGAGAAAATTGCATTACCGAGATAAATTCAAATACATCATTAATCACAATTACCCCATTGAATAAACCGGGAATTTTCTCCTGTTCACACATTGGGCGAGAAAGCTCGTTAATCAGAATTATGGAATAACTGTTTAATGAAAGTCTGAATAGAGATGTTCGTGTCATTATTGAATAACCCTAGATTTCAATGGGCTCTCGTTGAAACTGGAATTTAATTTACCTCGAGAATTCTCCGTAGCCAGTAATCATCAACAGCTGACAGAATTTCGAAGGGCGTTAATCTACTGCTCTCCTGCAATATTTCAATGTCATCTAAAGACTCTAGAATTTGAGCGACAGCCTCTGAAATTAACAAATAAACGGTTAACCAAAGTTGTTTAAAATTAAATAGCTGTATTGAAGGGATATTTCACCTGTTGTGCAGACGTCATCATCACCGACATCCAAAAAACTATCGCCATTCATATCCGAATGCCACTTTGGTGAGGAGACAGCTGCCTTGACAGCCTCCTTGAGTTTTCTCCTAGCATTAAATTTTTTCAGTTCATCTATTGTTTCACTTAAATGTACACGAGCTGCTCCCTTATCTCTGTCGCGAAGCCACTTGTGATTGAGAACCTCTTGAATCGTAATACGATTGTTGGGATTCTTCACGAGCATCCGTTCGATCAAATCCTTGGCTGGTCCACTGATGTTATCCCATGTGGGAGTGTCCGTCTGAAGATTAAAATTACAAATCGAAAAATGTCATTTCTATCGTCATTTCTATCGTAATTTCTATCATCAAGCGGAATAAGACTATCAAATTCCATGGAATCTCATGAATTAGCATTTTCTCATTCAACTCAATAACAGGACTAGAATCTTAAGGATATTTATCAATTTTCAAAGCACTACCATTTTTTTTTGTTGTTACCGCACCTTTTCCCCATTAATTGATTCCTTATTTGAGTTTGAATTTAATTTCAGTTAAGAACGTAGAGTGGTGAATGAATGAAATTTCTTGGTGATTGCGATGATTTTTGATAAAGATCCTTAAGTGATTGGGATGATTGGGGAACATTATCTGACTTGTACAAATCCTTTTTCGATGGCCATCCTCAGACGATCCCCAGAGCCGATGAAGGGCAGTGCACCAGTGAGAAGAACATGGAGAAGAACCCCAGCAGCCCACACATCACCGGATTTACCATATCTTCGCAGCTGGACGACTTCCGGTGCCATGAAGTGAGGAGCTCCCACCCTCCCTGATTTCCAGTTGTGCAGGCAATTGAGACAAATCAAACTCACCACAATCAAACCCTTGAAATTGCTTCTCGAGGGATGAAAAAAAGGAAAAAAAAAAGAAATCCAAAATGCCACGAAATGAAATTAAAATGGAGAAATCATAGTTTCATAATAAAAGAAACTGTACTGTGTGGAAGAATGTGAGTTCTGAAAGATCATAATCATCTCAAATGGTCGATATTCAAGCATTTTAAATACAGTAATTCTATTGAATAATGAATCATGGGGTAGAATGGTTGATGAGAGTTGCCGAGAGACAAATTCACTCTCCAGAGGGAATTCAATGTAAAATTGTTTTGTTTTGAAAGATTTTTCTCCTCCGAATGAAATTGCTCTCTCAGTTTTTTTGAAAATAATGTGGTGGAGACTAATGTGTGACAATTGTGTTCTGGGCATTTGTGAGAATTTTAGCTGCAAGGTAAAAAATGGGTTAAATATCATTATCAGTGGCTTCAGGCCTAGTTGAAAATAAAAATCATGTGCACTATCATATTCCATCCGAGATTAATATTCACTATTCCGTTGGAGTAGGGTAGGGTGAGGATTAGTTCATGTGACTCCAGTGAATTAGTACGTATGATTAAAATAGTATTAAAGCGCTATGAGTGGGGGAATTTGTAACAAGCAGGCAAGCAGTGGGATCAAAACAAATAATTAACTGCTCCATAGCTGTGAGAGATAAGCAAATTGTGGTACAAGTGGTGGAGATTTTTTCATTATTTAGTTGAGAGTTAAAAAAAGATCTCTTTCTGGTCCTCATGTACTATTCATTGAACGTAATCTTTGGTTTGAATTTCATCTTGTCCGACTGAAATATTTATGAATTTAGGTTTCACATTGTGTTATGGAAACCACGGCAGTGATTATAATAAACGAATGATAAGAGGAAAAATTGCTGGATCTGCAAAGCTTATAGAAAAATAATTAAAAGTCCGCAATTTACGATCATATTTGACAGTCCATTTTGATTCTATATTCTCATTGACTGTAAAATGTATTGCATTCAGCGAACTTGGCAGGTCTCTTGAAATCAATATGTCGATCTGTCACTCTTTTCAATTTTTCCAACATTTTTTCCTGTTTTTTATCATTATTTTGTCATAGCCATTCGAGGGATTTCGTCGCACACTTCGAAACCCAGACTGAGAAATATTTCACACTAACAAGATAAAGCTAAAACGAAAGATTAAGTTTGATAGATAGGACGGGCCTTCAGTCCTTAAATTTAATGAAGCAACTTGTCTTCTCATATATCTCCAATTTTACTCGACTGGCAAGAGGATATCTTTTTTTTTTAGCACGTGTGAGAGCAAATTACGGATTATGGGTCCTACTGATAAACTTTCATCTTTTGTTATTGACGTTTAGTTTTAAGTGAAGCTTACCCTCACTGTCGGCCTTCAAGTACAGCTGCCCCTTTGGGCTCAGATACTGTCGATACTCGGTCGTGTAAGTCTCTGCATTCATTTAAACGAAATTTGTAGGTATTTAATATTGCACATCTTACGTATAAATATGGAACGCCAAAATGTTGAGAATTAATTTCACATGTTTCTCTATTTTTTTAAATGTCTATGGGTTGAACTCTGGTAAGAGTTGGGCCATTTGACGATCTGTGTTGAAGTGTAAAGGGAAAATTCGAGTTTACAGACTCCTAAACGTTCATCGTGAATTATTAGTAACTCGGCAGTTTTATAATTAGGCACGTTAAAAAAAAATCAACATAAAGAAAATGAAACTTTTCAATGAAATAAAAAGATGTTTTAATCAATGAAAATAAACGCACCGACGCCGTTATTTTGTGGAGCTGGCAGTTGCATTGCTACACCGAAGCCCCGCAATTTAACTGGGGCTGAATTTTCTTTTCCAGCTAGAAGGGCACACTGTGGTTTTATGTCTCGGTGAATGATGTCGTTTTCGTGGCAATAACGCAGGGCTTCGAGAATCTGTCGCATGTAGTGACTGGAAAGAGAGGATTCATTTATTTTTTATTTATTGCTGAGTTGGACAGGTTTTCAGTGGTATATATTAGATTTTTCTATTGTTTTTTGTAGAACGTACCTTGCTACTGCCTCGCTGTAAGTAAATCCAGCTGAGGCACGTCTTACGACTTCAAAGCAGAGATCAGGTCCATCCATGCTGCAACAACAAGGAATTTTAAATATTCTTTCCTTTTTCCTTTCGACTGGGACAATCGGAATTATTGGAATTGACGTTTTGTGTACGTGAAATTGCGTTTTTTTTTGATGATTTGATTTTGATTTGATATTTGCTAATTTTAAACTTTTCATAGATTTTTTAAAATCAGCTTCCTGATTTCTTCATCTATTCTGGTTTTCTTTATTTATTTTGTTCCAAATACATTCGATTACATCTGAAGAAAATTTCCACTTGTTTAAGATGAAGGCAAATCATTTCTTTTATTTCTCTTTTCTGAACGTTCCATACAATTTAACAAAAACTTAGCAAGAGAAAAAAATAATAAAAGTGAAACAGCTATTCTGTTTGTGGATTAAAGATCTGTTGGATTTCTAGGAACCTTTTTACGTAATAAAATATATGACTGAGCCTCTAGAGCTCATTGAGAGTCTCTCATGCTTCAGAGCGAAACCATCTCTGGCTTCCCTCCAAAAGTAAGTGGAACGATTAATTACGTTAATTTGTTGCATTCAATTACGAGTTAGCAGTTTGCTTTATACTCACTACTCGAACACCATGTAGAGCATTCCTTCCGAGCTGTATGTCTCGAGGAGCTCGACAATGTGCGGATGCTTCAGCATATGACATATTGTTGCCTCACGTTTGAGATCTAAAAGGTAAGATTGGAGGTGAGTTAAAGAAGAACTTGAGAGAAAATTAGGTTTGTTGGATGCTCTTACCAGCAGTGCTAAGTCCAGGACTCGATGTAAATTTTGCAACATCCACGATTTTCACTGCAAACGTTTGAGCAGTCTGACGATGGATACATTTCCGTACTACGCTGAAAGGCCCCCTGGGTCAGAAAGTCCACATATTAATAAAATCGCGTTTAATTACATTAAGAAATTTTCCCTTTGGAGCGTCTTCCAGAGTTCAAACAGTCATTTAGGGATTATTTTATTAATGGATGCAGTTTTCGCATGAACTGACGTCAGAATAATTATTCAGCAATGGTTTATCAGTTGCAGAGGAAAAAGGTCTCGTTTAGACTCAAGAAAATTATTTATTTATCTTTAGATTAAAACGTGGATCATGAATAAATTTTCTTCATGTCAGAAACTTCTTTTATCATAAATATAATAAATAGAATGAAATGACATTAGAAAATTTACAGATTGAAAATGATTTTTCTGATATCAGAATAAATCGTGAGTTAAGTATACATTCTTTTTGAAGCTGGGAAGTAATTATTTAATATTAAAAAATGTTTTTTAAGTTTTGGAGACTCTTTCCCTCTGTGGATAATAATCTGCATGCATCTAAGTTGGAAAATAATCTATAATCGAGAATTTAAACCCGAGCGATTATCAGGGATGATATTGTAGCCAGAAATAAGTGATTTAATTATTAGAATGATAATATTTAGAAGGTGATATCTTATGCATGCAGAATCAACAATCTCAGGCCCGAAATTTTTTCTGTACCGGATTTGCAGGTCAAAGAGCTTGTGAGCTAGTATTGAGTACTCAATGTTATAAATATTCATTGCAGTGTTATTGAAATCCTTTCTGTGGAAAATGATGTAATTTCAGGAAAGAAACAGAAAATAAAAGAGAGTGGCCAATGAACCAATGCAAAGATCAAAGGATTTCCGGTTTCGCATTGAACTGCTTTTTTTCATGTCCTCCATAAAAAAGAACCTTTTTTAAAAGGGGAATTGAAAGGCACATCTCGTATAAAAACTCGATAAAATCTGCATGTGCAATTCTTTCAATGAGAATTTCCCAGTATGGGATTAAAATTATTGGAAAAAGTCCTCGCTCGGAAGATTTTACGGTAGGAAAAAAAAATAAAAAAGTAGATTAACAAAATGAGTGCATCGAAAAAAAAAGTATTTTCTCAAGTATTATTATTTACTAACCGAATAAAAAATATATATTTGACAGCAACCTGTGTTATGGAGATATTTATACAGATTCACTGGTGGTAAGTGAATGTATTTGGCAGAATAAGTGTTTTTTCTCAGCGTGATTTATATAAAATAATGAATTTTCCCATAATTACCACCGGTAAACCCTGGCCCCCACCCTTGGACTCATTACCATCAGTGCGCATTACGCAGCCACACCGACACTGATTAAACACAATCTCAAGAAAAAAAAAATAGCCAACACAAACAGGCGATAAAGAGGAATATAATGTTCGCCTACTCACTTGCCAATAATCTCACAGAGCTCGTAAACATCGTCGAAGAGCACCTCGTCATCCGCCATTGTGACCAATGAGAGTTAACCCCCAATGGGGGTTGAAATGCACCCCGAGTAATTTTTATGATCCCCTACTGATCTCCAATTCCCTAAGCATCAATTCGTTCTAACCCCTCGCGAAAAAAGAATAAAACGAAAAAATCAATTTTTCTTCATTGGAAAAACGTGGAAATTTTAATCACTCGGTTTGTTGTGCCTCGTACAACGTGACATGAAGTCACCACCACAATTTTATTTTCACTCCAGCACCTCAGTCTAAATTCGCCGTGACAGCAGTCAAACACTCAATTCACCGTCAAAACCGGTTTAAAATTCTTATCAAATTCCTGATAAAAGCCATCAAACTAAAATAATCAACTCCAGTCAGCATTAGATCACAGTCCAACATCGCCATCAATTCCGCAGAGACTACTTTAAAATTTCCTCATATCCACTGGATCCACCAAAGTCAACTCCATTATCACCATGGTACCCACTAAACTCCATTTCATTTCACGATTTCACCTGAATTTTATCAATTATATTGAGCCCACCACCCACCCCCCGCCCAGCGAGGAGCATATGAGGTGTTTCCACGATCGTTGGAAAAATACCAACTGGAGGTGGTGATAACGGAAGCAGCTGGAGAGTACAGAGGAGAGGTGATGAGTTCAATGATTTTTTAGGTGTTTGTACGATTTTAAAATGGATATAAACTGGAGGGTTATTGAGTGTGGGTTATTTCTAGGGCTGGGTAAAACGGAGAGTCGTCCTATCTATACACTTCAAGGCAAGACTGGTTGCATTGAAGTTGCTGAGGCGACTGCGCCAAACACCGACGTTGTACTATCATCCCCTTTGGTTTAGTAGTGGGGCGGGCGTGGCGGCTTTTGCTTCATCTGTTGCCCTATTCTCACTTTTAACTAATACACATTGTTCACCTTTATCTCCCCCCCCATTTTTTTTTATTCAATTATTTACCTTCTGTCCTTCTGTCCCCTGCCCACATACAATTTGGTCACTGTCCACTGTCTCCTGTCACCACCCAATCATTCAATAAAATAATATCCGCTTTTGCAACTTCAATTGCAACTCCAGCTACAACTATTGGGGATTTTATTAATTTACAATTCATTTTATTTCTCGTTTTTGCTTTTGCATTCCTCAGATGCTAAAGTTCTGGTTTTTATTCTTTTGATTTGGGAATTATTTTCAGTCTTAAGTAATGTAGTTTTTTATTTAATTATTCATCTTCCTCACTCCTCCCTGAAATACGATGCGCTTTGCCAGCTGCAACTAGAAATATTGCAGATTCTATCAATTTAAAATTCATTTTCTCTCTCGAGTGTTAGAATTACAAATCTTTATTTCAGGAATTCAATTGTCTCCGTATTGGTTTCGTCTGCTACCCTTTTGTCACTGTTAAATAATATATTGTTCACCTTCACCTTCTGTTTTTTTTTATTGAATTATTTAACCCCTATTCCCCTGCCTCCCAACCACTCAATAAAATAATATCCGCTTTGGTAACCAAAGGACAATGGCAACTGCAGCTATTGGAGATTTCATCGATTTGAAATCCACTTTCCTCCCTGTCTTGCATCACAAGTAAATTCAAAATTCATTATTTTTGTGCCAGGATTACTCTGGCCTAGTTCAATTATTACTAATGATCGGTGTACAACGAATGCTCCTATAATAATTATGGAAATCCATCTAAATTTGGCGTTCACTATTCTTATAGTGTAGTATATATATTCTTATAAGTAAAATAAAAGAATTATCTAAATTCCCTTAATAATTCAAAGCCATTGAAGAAAATATTGCGAATTCCTTATCTACAAAATGATAATATAAAAAAATTAATGATTAAAAAAAAGTTTTCAATCTACGAATTCTGTAACGAAGTGATAAATTGGTGCATTTTTTCGTGGCCAATTTTCAGCCAATATCTCCGAATTTAAGACACATATCGAATTTTTCATAAAAGCATTTTTTACACGAAAAGATGAGAGCTACAAAAAAGGTATTTACAAAAAAATCGTTATCTTTCCTCAATTTCGAGATATCGGGTAAAAAGGGGCTTCGAAAAAAATGCACTTGTCCTAGTTTACCACTTTGTTACAGAATTGTGTTATTATCAGTTGATTTTCTATTTAGACATTTGGAGTTTGTTGTTGGGATGTACATCTCGGTTATTCCATCGTTCTCGTGGAGGAGATAATAATGGAGGGTGGAGAAAAAGTGGTTGGTGAGGTATGAAAACGTTCCCTTCTGCCTCTTGTACGATCTATGTTGCGCTCGAAATACTCTTGCTCGATTGTGCGGATATTACTCATTAACCCCCTTTAGAAATCACAACGCCAGCGATACAATAGGTTCGTTGACTCTCACAACATGTTTTTTTATATTCTTCCTTGATGAAACTCTTGAGGATAAGGAGATTGTGGAGGAAATCGTTATCTTAGGTCTCGGGGTTTATTTTTGGAACAGATTGCGATAGCCATCGAACTAGATAATGAGTAAGAATGAAAGATTTTTGCTTGACAAAATTAAATACCGATATTGCTGATATCGATAGTTTGACCTGCTGACAGCTAATCATCAGGTTTGAATTTGCCGCCCCTTTTGTGGGAATTCCCGGCTTAGTTGAAGGTCGGTAATCTAGAAAACGAAAAGAGATGTTTTGGAAAACTTTTTCTTGATATTGTTTTGCATTGAAATTCTTTGATTGAGAATTTGTTGAAGTGCGTAGCGGTGTGATTGATTTTTTTCTCTGAATTCGTGTTTGAAGATTTTTATGTTTCCATTCGTTGATCAATCGTTTAGTCTTTTCACCGTCCGTCGAGGGTTTGTCCTCCGCGGTAATTCAATTAATTGGTTATTAATTGTTGGGTGATTAGTAAAAACTAATGGTTTTGAACATCTCCAAGAAAGTGATTCACAAAATTTTCAAATGAGTGAGTGATGATTTTTTAAGTGGAAATTATGACTGGAATGGTAGTGGTAAATTACCGAGATTTGAATTATTATACATTGATTTGTAAATAAATTATGATTAAGTAGTTTGAGATAAAAAAAATCAAAATCAAGGTCCACAATGGTGGGTCATGGATGCTCTAGTCACAAGTAGTCAAGCTACTCTCGAAATACATTGGAAATTTTAGTCTATATATTTTATCTTTTATTTACCTGATAAATATTTATTTCTACGTTCATACTGAATCAAAATAAAACAAATACTTATCTCGCAATACACAAGGCAACCAAAGCCTTCGAAACACGATCGGTTTTCGTGGAAAAACTATTAAAAAATTTTGAAAAAGTTTTTATGTGTTAAAAAAAACTTTTTTCATTTCCATTTTTATATTCGGTCAACTAGACATTGGAATAAATTTTTGAAGCCATCATTGATGTATTTCGTACCTTTTAGGTACAGCTACCGTCCAAAAACTGATTTTTTGAAAATTAAAAAAAATACTAAATTAACTGAAATAAAAAAAAAATACTAATTTAACTGAAATCTGATTAATATCGCCGTCGAGGGTTCAATAGTATTTACATACGAGGAAAAAATATTTAATTTCCCATGGAGTTAAAAATGTTGTTACATACATACATAAATCATATAATATACTATATAATATATGAATGCCCATGGATGCGGTCTAAAAATCGCATTTTACGACCTTTTGAGTCATAACGGGAAATGTCACAGAATATTAAATGAGAATTTCGTTTGAAATATTGGAATGACTTCCCCCGAACGGGGATTTTCCCACGGGAATCTCCCACAATCCGCTGACATCGCTTCCATAATCGTCCAACACTCCTGATAAGTGACAATAGACTCTCAAGTACTTGGAGTACATTCCGATAGTGCCCTCGACGAGCCCGAAACTCGGTCAAATCGCCATTTAATGCTCTAGTGGTCCTCAATGAAGGAATAATCGACGATTTTATCATTCCCTCAAGCATCTGAGAGCTCGAGCCTCTCAATCCCAAATTTCTCCCTCTCAAGCCGACGATAAGAGTTTTTTTATTGGAAAACTTATCGGAATCTTCTCATCTCCTTTTTTGGCATCTGCTTCCGCTCGCCATCATTATTCCCAGTTTCGTCTTTCCAGGATAACAATCGTCCCAGGATCCCGGAAATCCTTTGTTTCTCAGGTATTTACTGGATACACTCGAAAAAAACAACTCGAATTATTTATGATTAGTAAAATAATTTTTCATCTCTCGATGTTTTGATTACCAATGAAAATACAACTTTTACGTCAAAAAATAACAAAAAATATTAATGTTTTTTTCCTTTTCGTTTCCAGCGTTCATTAGTACTCATAGCTTTCTGGGTCATGCACCCTAGGCGCACATTTACCACCCCATTTCGCTGAAAAACGTCTGAAAGCCTTCATCATAGTCACCACCACCCTAACAAAACACCGTCCGGTTGTTTCTCGATTCTTCAAGCAGCGCTGGCCGTTTTGAAAGCTCTCTTGTTCTCCATGAATAGAAATCACCTCGCCTCCATTCACATACAAATTTTTTCCACTACACTATCATTTTCGTTTCACGTCTGTCACATTATCAGGAATATTTCCCCAGATGCCTGCTCTGATTTCTCATTCAAAATCGATCATCTATTGTCGTGTATGATATAAAAATCGCTAGATTAGAAGAGACTATGAAATTCCTCTATAAAAAATCCAGATGTAACGAAAAATGTCACGTCATTACTTTTCAATGTTAATTAGAATGTTTCTTAACGAAACATGAATAAATAAAATTTATATTTATAGTTATGCCTATATTATTATAGCATCTGTATTTATTTCAGATTTTAATTCAAATTTTCAGGAATTCTATTTTTTTAATTAAACTCAATGGATTAGTTGCGTACTTTTGATACAGAATGAAAAGAATAAATTAATGCAATAAATATATTGTGATAAATTGTTTATAAATTGTAATATGATCACTAGAATCTCGCAATGCGGAAATACTAGTTGGAAAAATGTGATAGATCCACGGAATTTTCAGGATTTCTGTAAAATGGAAAAAACATTTTCATTTTAATATTTTTCCGGTATCTAAAGGCTTTGTTATCATCTGCGGAGTGAATGTGGAATCAACTGTCGATGAAAAAAGTCGATTTTCAAATCATGCTCAGGCGAGCGTAGCGCACTCCCTACGCTAGTTCGAAAAAAATCTCGCTTTTTAATTAAAAAAGAACTTTCTCGATGTAGCAGTCTATTTACTATTGGCCTATCGAGAAAAATATTCTCAGCAGGATAATTAAATGCCCTCCAAATACTGTGGTAGAAACTCACCGGAAATAATCCTTTGCTGAAGCGTAACAAGTCGATTTGGTTAATTTATGAGTTTTCAAGAAATATTTCTGAATCTAAGAGAGATGATGAAATTTTCATTGAAACCTCTTTTGTAGCTCTCATTGTACTCTACAAAAGTCATCTCAGGGAATATTTCGCTATCCTTTTCAGATCCAGAGTAATCCTTGAAAAACTCAACTACGAAATAAGTAAAATTGTTATCCTTCCTCCCTTTTCATCCGAATTCCCACGAATTAGAACTATTACAATGTACTATTGCTTCATTATATTATTCAACTACTAACGGGAATATTTTCCCTAAAAAATCTGATATAATGGGACACGAATCCAGCAATAAATAATCTAATACCGAAGGATTAGAGATTAACGAGTGAATTTTAGTGGAAGTACCAGGGGTAAATACATAAGGTTTTTAAAAATATCTCTGAAGTTAATAAAGATGGAAAAAATATCGTCAAACCATTGTTGTAGCTCTCATTTCACTCTACAAAAGTCGTTTTCACGAGTATCCCGCTATCTCTTTTAGATTCTGAGATATTTCTTGAAAATTCAGCTACAAAATGAGTAGACTTGTTATCCTTCACCACTGAATTACAGCCCTTAATACTCTATTTTGGTCTCAACTTTTTACGACGAGAGCTGTCTCAGCACCGGTCCAGAGAAGCTGAGATATTAAATGTTGGGTGAAGATTATCCGGATCTCAGACGCATAGATACATCTCACCAGCTCATATTCCGTTTTTTTTTTCATCTCCATGATTGTCGAGCCGCATAAGAAGCTGGACCCTGGGTTCCACCTGCAGCCGCACCTGAAAAAAAATCATATAACTTCATAATAACAAGCGCTCCTTCTTCCTTTGGCAATTTGGAATGAGGTCGCTTAACAATAAAACAGCAAAGGACCACCAAATGGGCTTGCGTGACGCCTGCCTTGACATAAAACACAGTCCGAAGAAAATTAAAATACAAGAATCGAAGCGAAGAAAATAAAACTACTGCGAGTAATGTTCCTCGCGTGTTTACACCCCAAGAATGAAATACCACGAACAGTTCGATGTATCGATCGTGCGATTTGAAATATATGTCAGCAAACAGGGACTCGAGCTGAGCATCAATGAAAGGTATCGCATGACTCCATTGGTTATCAATTCATTCGCTAAATTCAGCGATTTTTCATCACGATTGATTGAGTCGCATCCAGAACCTTGCACGATATTATCACTGGGATAACGTGAATTACCGAAATGTTCGTTATTACATTGGTTTGTAAATAAATTACAGTGAGAAAAAAAATTACTTTTACCAATAATATATTCTTCTCACAAGAAAATCCGACAATCCGAAAATCACTGGAAAAAACGTCACTTTCTCGCACGCTTCGCTCGGAAGGAACTCCTTATTTCACGAGTATCATAAAATTTTGTAGTAATTTATGTCATAAGGGATGAAAAAGTCCCTTCAACAGGGGTGATTACAACCCTCGCAATGTTCGTTATTACATTGGTTAATGTAATAAATTAAATAAAGATAAATTACAGTGAGAAAAAAAATTACTTTTGCCAATAATATTTTCTTCTCACAAGAAAATCCGAAAATCACTGGAAAAACCGTCACTTTCTCGCACGCTTCGCTCGGAAAGAACTCCTTATTTCACGAGTATCATAAAATTTTGTAGTAATTTATGTTATAAGGGATGAAAAAGTCCCTTCAACAGGGGTGATTACAACCCTCGCAATAATCAAAAAGTACTTTTTTTCAATTGCATCGTAATACTCCACATCACTCCGTGCAGTAAATGACGAATTACGCACGTTGTAATCTAGAGTTCCGTACAAAACACGTGCGGCATGAATTCTGGGACTCGTGTGATTAGGAAACTCTTTCCCGCACTTGTTTTGTAATGAACTATTTTCTATTATGCAAGTATTGTTGATCTCTAATCATCGATATTAATTAAGATTTGATTCATTTATTAATTTTTTTCAATTTTTGAGTTCTTTCAAAAATCAGTTTTTGCACGATGACTGAAGGGATGTCATGAAATCCGACAATGATGGCTCCAAAAATTTGTTACAAATGTTGGAAAATGCAAATAGTAGATAGTAGCAAATAGGAAAATTGTTATTAAAATTTTGAAATGATTGCAAAAATAACTACACTATATGCAATGAAACAGCAATTTAATACTGGTTCTACCAACTTTTTTTTCCTCAGATTTTTCTCAAAGTAGTCCTTAATATAAAAAAAAAAACATCTGAGTGGAGAAAACATTATTCGAGTGTCTAAAAACGGTGGGTGCACCCTCAAACATTCGCAGAACTGAATATGAGCAGTGGTTACGAGTAAATTTCCGGTTGGAAAAGTTGCAAATGAACTTGCTCGTCAAATAATAAACTTTCTCTTTGAAAATTCGGGTGTTTGGGGGAAAAAGCGATAAAAATAAATCAACAGAACAGGAAATTCCCCGGCTATTCAATTTCCCTTTAGAATCCTCAATTTGCGCCCTAGCAGTTCGATATTCTCCTGAAAATTTAAATTTCAATTGGAAAATATTCCATTGACTCTTTATCGAATCTGTGGAATATCGAGTGACCTGGGGGATCGATTAGAAACTGGCACAAACTGCACCATACGATGCATGTCAACAATGCACGTTAAAATATATTTGAATCTACACTGAGAGAAATATTCAATAAAAATTACGTGTATTTTCTGTAATTCTGGAGCGAAATGTGGTTGTCGGAAATTTTACGGAACTGTCACGTAATTTTTATCTAAAGTCACGCAATTTTTCCGCGCTGTTTCCTCTGAGAATTTTGAAAGCTGATAAACCGAAAAAATATGAAAGAATGCTGAAAATATTCTTTTTATTATTTATTTATTTATTTATTTTATTTTTATTTTATTATATCGCTAAAATTGTTGATAGATATTCTTGTGCGGTTGGTGAGATCTTTTTTTTTTTCTCTGTAAGCGATATCACATTGACAAAATAATGCGCTACACGGAGAGAAATATTTAGTAAAAATTACGGAACTTTCAGTTCACTTACCGATTACGGAGTTGATCCGAAAAATTTAAGTGACGGTATGGTTATTTTTCACCGATAATTCAGATAAAAATTACGGAACACCGTGGAAAAATTCCGTGACTTTAAATAAAAATTACGTGACAGTTCCGTAAAATTTCCGACAACCACATTACGCTCCAGAATTACGGAAAATACACGTAATTTTTATTGAATATTTCTCTCAGTGTAGAAAAGCACGGAACGGCATGAGTAATTGCTGTTAAAATTACGATTACAGTGATTGCAGTGCTTGACAGATGAAAAAAAAAGGGCAAAGGGACCGAATAGCCTCTTAAGACCCAATTAATGATAAAAGGAGTAGAAAATATAATTTCGAACCGAACAATTCCCAGAGCGCTCAAATCCCTCCGGCATATCGAATGATTAAACGGGAATGAAATTACATAACAATAACAAGGAAGGGAATATATCGATAAAGGAGGGGGTGGGATGGTTTCATGCTCCACCCAGAGTTAGAATGCAATGGAGGATACGAGGGGTGAGGGAGAAACCGGAAGTCAGTGAACATTATACCCTGAAATGCTCCATCTCTGTTGGAGAAATAATTGCATTAGAGTGAGATAATGCGAGAGAGAGAGACAGATGGATTTTGTTAAATAGAGTTGGCTCTTCTTCAATCTCCGCGTTTCCACATTGCAAATTGACAGATTTGTAATTCCCCCCTAGAACACTAAGAAGAGAAATTCATAATTAATTAGTTCAATATTTTTTTAAACAATTAAGAGCAATAATAATAATAATAATAATAATAATAATAATAATAATAATAATAATAATAATAATAATAATAATAATAATAATAATGTTTTTAGTATTGCAAGCACTTTTAAGATGCACTAATTAATTAATTAGAAAATGAATGAATTAATTAAATTTGTTAAATTAGTTTTTATTCAATCATTATATTAGACATGACCTTGTGTTACTAGTGTTTGGGGTTTTTTTTTAAATTTTTTATTTATTTTCTAGAGAATCATTTGTAGACATTTTTTAATGGTAATTAGCAAGAGAGTGCACTTACGTTTATTAGTAGCATGAGCATCTCCTGGAAGAACATAATTGTCATAATTGTGACGAATTTCTGAAGATGACTCGACTGGAGGAATTTTGTATTGAGAAAGTACATATTTCGCTGGAGTGAAGGAATATTCAGAAAAAAATCATTGTATTTTCAGAAAAGCGTTGAGATAAAGAAATATCTTGCCGATTTTTTGATTCGATTAGACTATTATAGTAGATTATTTTATAAATAATATATTGCAGTGACAAATAATTACGATATTTATGCAGAAAAAAAAATTAATGGACCGAAAAGAAGTATAATAGTATATATAATAGTATATATATATATGTAATAGTACTAGTGAAATAGTAGAAGTATTCCTAGATTGTAAATCATTGAAATTCATTTTTTCCCTCATTACACTATTACTGAAGGATCTCAGTACTCAAGTACTTCTAGGACTTTTTAATTATCGACAAAGCAAGAGATTACCGAATGTCTCAGCATCTGATACCACCAAAGGATCGAGGGTGAACATTATCCATTAAAATTTCAAAGTATCCTTGTAACGAAAATGTCCGGACTATTGAAATTAATTTTTTCTCTCATTACAGTATTAATGAAGGATCTGAGAACTTCCAGGACTTTTAAATTATTCACTTACCAAGTGATTACCGAATGTCTGAGAATTTGATAACACCAAAGGATCGAGGATGAACATTATGCATTAATATTTCAAAGTATGGAACGAATGTTACGAATGAGTGTTGATGCGTCTGCGCAGAAAAGCTCAGCCCCACGACACACAACAGCACTCGGGACTCGGGTTTGTAAGTCAGAGCAAGCGTGGCGGTCCACCGTGCAACATCCCATCCCGCTGCTAAAAATTAAAAAAAAAAAAAATCGAAAAATAGCGAAACCATCGCAGACTCCACCGCTAAAAAAACCGCCCCAGTAAACAGCCCCAAAAGTCCAACCCCAAGAGCTGTCAATTTATTTTCAATTCTCACGAACTTTATAATCGGTGTGACAAAAAGGATTGGACACCAGTGAAGGGATTGGAGATCGGAGGGGAAAATAATAAAAAAAAAAAAGATTGAGAGGGGACCGGTTTGATGTACTAGTGTGTGATTGCACTCGATTAACGCTTTCTACGCCGAATCCTGGAGCGAAATAGCGTTTCATCGATCGGGCCCAAGAGTAAAGGAAGGAAGGAGAGGCTTTTAGAGCAACTTTCCACCCCCTGCGCATACGCCTCCTGTAGGTGTTGTCCTCTAGATTGTGTCAGTGTGTGTTGTGTGTGTGATTTTTGATAGTATTGTAGAGCGGGATGCTGTGGACGAGTACGAGTCACCGCGTGCTGGGGTCAACGAGCCGATAAAACCAAGATCCTCTGATATTTCAACTTCGTCAATAGACCGATTGAAATGACAATTGTGTGCTGTACGTGTCTTTTGAGGGGGCGGGGGACTCAACCGCATTTCCATTTTCCGTGTAAATAGGAGAATTTTCAATTATTCTGTTTGTCCATGGTGGGAATTCGGGGGTCAGCGCAAATACACTCGACCACTCACATCCTGCTAACTCTTCGGACGATCCCTTCGTACGAGGTGAGAGATTTTATTTGCAACTGTATTTTTAGGAAACTGGGAGAATTTTTCTACTTGACATTATTTTTTACTTTTTTTTTTACATATTTTTAACGAGCTTTTAGAGATCAATTGTTTTATTTTTGGGGTATTTTTGTAGGGGGGAATTTTCTCGATGTGGAAGAGAAAAATCGGGGGATAGGGAAAATTTAAACCTCTGTGAAAGATCGATTGTTATTTAATATGGAAAACCCAATTTTTTTATATTTTCAAGATCGTTGATCGATTTTTTTTATTGAAATTTTATTTACACACATAATTGGAAATGGAAATTGTTGTTCAGGTTGTTATATATTATTGGAAAATAATACTTGAAATTTTTAACAAGGCATTGAAGAACGATTTAACTTATTGAATATTCTGTCGAATATATGTAACTACAAAACCGTAAAAATGTTAAAAATTCAATTGTATTCGATATTAAATTGTCACGATGAGCACGAAAATTCAATCTCTCATTGAAAAATCAATTATTATTAACCATAAAAAACCGAAGTTCAGGAATTTTCAAGATCAACGAAAAATGCAGTCACCCTTGTTAATTGATATTCCATTGAACCTCAAGTAATTAAAAATCCAGATGATTCTGCGACTGAAATTTCCCAGAAATTTTCCGCATTAGACGAAGAAACAGAGGAAACAATACGAGTTGATCAAATTCTGGGTTGACCTGCAATTTTTGAAAGGGCAATTACGAAATTATATCATTCATTTTGATTAGCAATTATTCATGAAATTGACGGAGTGGAAAAATGGAAAGAATGAAACGTATGACAAGATTAAGAATCAAGGATCAAGGATCAAGGATCAAGGATCAAAAACCAAAAAAAACATTTATTATCAGTTATTATTAATAATAATAATTTCATCGGAATTATCGGATTTTTGGGGTAATATTCTTGGAAATCCAAGGGTGCGTGGATTTTGATTTGTGGCCATGGGCTATGGCGATGGATACCTGCTGCTCGATTTTACAAGAGCCCATTGTGGGTGCAAGTTGAGATGGGTTTTACGAGGGGAACAGTGGCACGGGGAGGATGTGCGGGGGGGGGGAGGGGTGATGGAAGGGGGGTAAAAGGAGAAGTAACAGGACTATACGAACAACACCTGCTCTTGGGGTATGCGCGAGGCCCTTTTCCTCACTCGTCTTGTTAACCAATCATTTTGGTTTTTGAGGTTTATCCTTGAGAAAACTTTGTCCCTTAATTTTATCGGGGAATTTATCGCCATTTAATAGCTATGCTTGTTTCTATACTGCAGTTACGCGGGGAATCGCGCGCTCGCGTTTTACAGAGTTTTAATCACTTTATTCCTGTAAGAACACGTTACGCTAATTTTACGGCTGTTCGATACAGCGAGGAGGGAATTTGTTGGATGAAGAGAGAGCGTGCAAGTCCCTGAGACAATATGAAATCATGATTGTGGGGAATTTTAAGAAGTGGTTTCAGGTTGCGGAAAAAAAATCGGCAACGATTTGAGCGGTGCGCACCTGCCGACTGGTCGAACGAGTGTCCATGTAACAATCTCGAGTTCACTTTCGAGAGACTCCCTTCGTATCCCTTTCGAAAAACCAAACGAGTCTCAAGGTTTCGTTTAAAACTTTCGGGTAAAAATCGGCTGAAAGCCGAAACAGATTCACCCAAAAGATATATATAGTTCTGCCAAGAATAGAAAAAATTTATAAACTATTCTGTGTGTCCCTATATCCCTAGATCCCGTTTCAAAAATCCTCGAAGCACTGATTAATTAATCTGATTAATAAATTTATAATTGGTATTTAACGAAATGACCGCAACTGAATTTCAATAATTATTGTTAACATGTAAAGTTGTTTTTTATTTTATTGGTTGAACATCAAGAATTACCTAAGTATGCAGGAATTTTATTAATAACAATGAAGTTGTCATGATTTATGAATAAATGAATGAAAAATCGATTGATGGTTTTAAATCGAATTGATGAGATAATTGAAAATTCAGACGACATGCTGCGTGAAATATCTGAATAAAACGGAATAACTTCCTGGTTATAGAGTTGACCATTAAAATTTCAACGGGTATTTATGGACAATTGTTGGTGGAAAAAATGGTAGCTGAGGGGTTGAAGAAAATGTAGGTCGACGTACAAGAGAGGGCGATCCACCGGTGGGGCTTTATCGACCGGTGAAAAAACCTTTCTCACCCACCAGTACCTGAGCATTTACTCCATTTCCACATTTATTTATCTCCATTTCCCTATCAATTCCTTCAATTGAACGTATGCCATCCCTACCGATATAATCAACAGGAAAGAAGGCAATCAATTGCTCAGGCTCCCTTTACTTCCTGTTTTCTCCATTTTTATTTCTCCTCAGCTCTTGTCACGGAGGGAATATTCCGTGTTTTGGAGGCGTTATACCACATTTCACCGAGAACCTCGTGAAGAAAAGAGTATAGTCTCGCAAACTATATCCACCCTTTCTATTTTCCCCGTTCGAAGCACGAGGCTAAAATTAGAGGGCAACAAGCAAAACAAAACGACACCAACTGCTCAAACTATAAATTCTCAAACTTTGCCCCCAACTTTTCCTCGAAATTTTAGGTCTTGGAAAAGTTTCAGGAGAATTTCCTTAGACTGGAAAAAAAATTTGCCGAGAAATTGCCGAGGAATTGTCGAGAAATTGCCGAGAAATTGTCGAGAAACAGCCGAGAAATTACCGATGGGATTGACGTAAAAAAAAATAGCGTTTTTGCCTTTTGTCTTTATTTAATGCGTTTTTTTTACTTCAATTTAGATTAAATTTTAATTGGGAATGATTAGTTAACTTTTTATTTATCTTGACAATTCCAAAAAATGTGGTTTTCATGTTCAATGAGAATTTATTTTTTAATCAAAGTTCTAGTCTCAGAATTGTTGTAAACATTGAATGTAAAATCTAGTTCGGTTTTTTGATAAATATGAAAGAATGTGGGGAATTATATCAATAATTAATTAATCAACTGACTCGTTGATTAAAGTTTCATTTTCTAATAGTATGTAGGAAAGTTCTGAGCTTTTGCGAAAAATTGAAGTAAAGTTTCAATTTTTAGTGAGAGCCAGTCGGAAATTTGGTAATTTGCATAAATTTCCAAGCAAAAATGAATATTTAATGCCGAATTATTTTTTGATTCTTGTCAATTCAAGAACTACAAAGGAATACAAATACAAATCCATTTCTTTAAAATTCAAAAACATTAATCAATTATCATGGAAAAGTGGAACCAAAATATAAAGTTTTGTGCGATTTCTCTACGAAATTTTCATTTTTTAATAAAGGAATGTCTCAAAAAATTAAAATGATGATCATTTGAATTTCCATTATCCTCGGTGTAATTTTCATTTGAAAGTCGTGGGAGTGAATTGAAAATATTTCAATGAAGAACTCCATTATGAATAAATAATTTGTCTAGTTGAATTTCCTTCTTCGCGTATATCGAGGGGATTAATAGAACGTAATGGGATTCTCCAGAGTTGGAAGTCCGAAATTCAACTGAATATTCATTGATGCTATTTCCATTCCTCTCGGATATTAACAGGGGCCACCTATAAATTGAGTTATTTCACGGTGCGAAGAGCATCTACTCGGATTATTAAAATGTTTGTTTGCGTAATTTATCGTAAATGAATTTATTGTAACGGATAAATTCAGTTGTGAGTAATTGAACGGATGATTGTAATTGGGAGACATTTTAATTGGAGATTGGCCCAGCGTCCATCAATCCTCGTCTCATCGTGAATTTCATCTGCACAAGTGAATTTTCACTCTTTTAACAACTCAATTAACTAATTCAGTTTATTCCCATAAGCTTGTGGTGAAGATGGCTTTATTTGCGCGCACCGCGAAAAACCATTACTTTTGTTAAGTAAATTTACCAACAGAAAGAAAATTCACATATTTACGCGGTGTAAATTTACTTGGCAGAAGTGATTAATCTAGCAACAGAATTGTTGGTCTCAGTGCGAAGAATGAAATAATTGAGTGAATCGTACACTGAGATAAATATTTAATAAAAATTACGTGTATTTTTCGTAATTCTGGAGCGAAATGTTGTTGTCGGAAATTTGACGGTAATTCACTTAATTTTTATCTAAAGTCATGCAATTTTTCCGCGGTGTTCTATAATTTTAATCTGAATTACCGAAAAATTACGATACCGTCACTCAAATTTTTCGAATCGCCTCCGTAATCGGTAAGTGATCTGAAAGTTCCGTAATTTTTACTAAATATTTCTCTCCGCGTACTAAATTATTTATTTGGAATATTCTCAATTCGAGATACGAAAAAATGTTCTCTGAAATGACAACATAAATACACCATGAAATATCAGATTGCTTTTTGCACTCATGGAATGCGAGCTCCACCATAAATCCATAAAAATGAAAAGAGAAAATATGAATTTTAGCTGAAAGTGTGTAGAAAATTCTTAAAATTATATAAATTATATAAAAAATTAAATCCACGCATTACCACCCTATAATTTTGTCAGCGTCGTGAGAAAATTTTTTTTATCAGTGTAAAAAAAAAAAAATATTGGACGCTCCTGATGGTTCGTTTACCACCTTGCTCTCTGAAGAGCCTGAAACCCGATCCCAGTCTGATAGCTGTTTAATAATGCGCAATCAGCCGTACATGGTATCCTCGTCTTACACACTAACAGATTCATGACAACAAAATGAACCAGCGGAACAAAGAGAAAAAAAAGTATTGAGATCGTTGATGCATCCGGTGAGATAATGCCCCACTCCTTCAATCATATTTATTCTGTTTTCCAGACACAAAGGGGATGACTCAAAATTGAAGAAAGACAAGTTGAAGTGCTGAGAAGCAGTCAAAGTCCTTTTTGCTTTATCTGAATAACTTCATCCGTCGACTGATAAACTCGATAAACTCGTAATCACATGCATTAAATCGGTATGAATCGGTATGAGTTAATTCCTGGTGG